CAGTTTATATTTGGTTTAGTTTGTTCGTTGGGTTTCAGGATTGATATGAATTGTACTGAAAAAACGTGTGTTTAAAAAACAGGTCTTGAAAAATTACCCACTATTAACCCCTGGACATCTTGATTCCCCCTAAATTTGGCATCACTGACTTATTTATCCCGTATTGACGGTTTCAAACCGCTAAGTCTGGACCCGGAGCCTAGCCCTTCTTCAGCTTCAGGTTTTAGTTCGAACCAACGTCATATCACGATGACGGGTCGTGTTTATCACTCACTGTTATCAGATCCAGAGATATTGACAGTAATATTTAAATAATCTCAAGTTTACCAGTTATAACTCGATGGCGCGTGTTAGGTACAGAAGGTTCACACACATTAAATATAATAAATTAATCAGCAGCAGATCTTATGCCTTTGATTGTGGAGTTAAAGATTATTTATGTATATATTTTATTAATTAACAGTTTGTTGCAGTAATACAGAAATACAGTACAATTAAAATAATTAAATAGAAGGCGGCCTTATCGCTTTCGAGCGAATTTCTACCAGGCAACCACTCGACACCATAGTTTTATCTACAGTACACTTATGAACGTCATATTTACTACTAATTCACAAATCAAGAGTGTATGGAGTTTCCATACTCTACACTTAAAAAAAAGGTTTTATTAAAATACAAGTAACAAAGCGGTCCTTAGGTACAATAAAAAATAATTGTACTTCTAAATAATTAATTACAAAGAAGACCTTTGAGCAGACAATAACCATGGTAAGTAAGGATTTAGTTTCGTTATGTTTGCGAAAAGCTTATAAAATACATATTATTATTAATGAGAGTTTTATTAATCGAATTAATATACTACTTTTGGAAATAATGTAATATTCGATGAATTATTAACATTATAACTACATTAGTTTGATAATAATATAGTAATGATAATATATTTTAATAATATTATATTTTATCACTAAAAATAATATAAAAATTGACCATAATGATATGACTCATATATCTGTAAATTCTATGTAAAATTCCTTAATGACAAGTTTGCACGTCATTATGATCGTCATTATGCGAACTTTAGATTGTACCACCTTAATATTTTTGTACCATATTCTTGCAAATAAATAACCATTATTATTATAAAAATTAGGTTTAGAATCTTTAAGAGCATCGTAATTTAGGTTCGAAAAACAACAGACACAGCGCACCCATAAGGGTTATAAAACAACCACACACAAATCCAGAGTGTATATACGCACACACATACTCAAATATTCACGCATACTGAAGGACTTATACGACTTTTGTTTGATTCGATGACACTAACGGTAAAAAATTGTTTTAAAAATGCACAATGCACCACGGAATAGTTGTAATATAGTTACCGCACAGGGGCTCCCTAATGTGGGGCTGGTCCCCAGCAATGCAATGCAGGCCTGTTAGAGCAATTTTGTCAAAATCATATTTCTGTCATGAATAAAGTTTCATTATTATTATTCAAATTCAAAAATCATTTATTCACGTAGGTAACACAATGTACACTTGTGATTCGTCATTAAAGAAATACATATTAATGCTTCTAATTTTACATTTACTGCCAGTTCTCAAATCAAGGGCGTAGAACTGAAGAGAAGAACTGGCAAGAAACTCTCCGCCTCTCTTTAATCGCCATGTTTTTTTTACACAACGTTTGTAAGGAGCTGCAACCATTACACCATGTTCCACATGACATCTTAAGTAATTAATAATAATAACATAAATTAAAAATAAAGACTTGTCCTCTATCAGCAGGAGGCATATTGTACTCGATATATCGAGTCATGCAATGCATAAAAGCTACAGAGTTTGCTTCGTTTACTTAATTGTTGTAATAAAATAAATACGTCTAATGTCATTTATTAATCATGAGCTATCATCCCATTAGAAGCCCTGTTATAAAAAATATCTCAAGAGACGACTGTCGACGTATGTCATACAATTTATCGCGATTATTACTACCATAAATGCATATAATTTTACAACACCAAGAAGCTTAGGAGTGCAATAATTGTGAATTACTTTAAAGATATCACGCATTGATCTCGTGAAAATGATTCAATTTTTGAATTATGTATAAAGAAATTGATGCTTTGGTTACATCTGATTTTTTTTATTTGGACCACATAATTAGCACGAACACACGTTTTAAAAAAAAACATACAATCTCTAAAAAGAATTAAACTATTTGAAACAACAATTGAATTATTGGTACTATGTCCTAATAAGTGGCGCTACAACCTTTTGAGGTCTAGGCCTCAACTATCTGTATACGTTTCATGATCATTGGCAATGAAATAGGCAAGTCGGTGATCCTGCTGTGCCGGACACACGCCGTCGACTCTCCTCACGATGTTTTTCTTCACCGTTCGAGCGAAGTAAAATAATTATGTGGAAAATAATAAATGTCTGATTCAAATTAATTGTAGGCATCATTTTAATTGCAAATTGCTGTCAGTGCCGTCTTTAAGTATCTATCCAACTGTCTTTATAAACTTAATGAAACCATACCTACTTGTTGCTTACATACAAAAAAGTAGGTTGACATTTGCTTTGGTTGTTGCACTCCATTAAAAAGTAATTGACAGTTTTGTTAATTAGAAAACATCCAAGACGTTTTTAAGAGTCTTACTTAGCGATGATTTCCTCGCAATGTTCCCTTTACCATATGAGCAAGTATTTATAGAATCTAAAAGCCGCTATCCAGGGTTGTAACGCACTGTGCGTTGGGTTGAGATACGTACTAACGTTTATCTAACGGAGCAAACTACTACTACTGTCCACTATGCGATATACACACTGCCCATAGATACTCACATCGTCAAAAAGCTCGCAAGTGCGTTGCCGGTCTTTTAGGAATTGGTATGCACATTTCTATCGATTTAATTCGGAAATACTTCAGTGGGCAGATGGTTTCATATAGTGGTGGTGCGCGGCAAAAACTGCCTTAAATAACGCTCAGTTGTGGAACGACGGACGTCGAGGTGATACGGGTGGTATTTAATTTTTGTTTACTTTAGACATTTCAAATTATCAGAATTATTTCATCATTAACAAGTGCTCTCAAATTTCGTCACAAAATGTTTTGTTATCAATTAGTTTAAACTTTAAAGTACCTAATAGTATGTCTTAACTCGTGACATGAAAACGATCTTACAGTTAACCTTGAATGGTTATAATCAGTCATAACAAGACAAGGCGTCTAGGAATTTGCTATGCATTAGACGTTCATCAGTTTATATTTTTACTAATATAAGACGAATATTTATTCATACAAATACATACATACATACCACTTGAAAATTTGGACATATTTAAGCTATCTGAAACGAAAACACATTGCGCGTACGAGGCGTCTAAATGAATTTTCGTTGTCGCATAATACATGATTCTCATTCGTCAAATATTTGTTTATTTTTCTGTTAGTCTAAGAAGAACCTTACATGATGTTGATATATAAATCTCTCCCTATCTGTAAAGAATATAATTATATCCAAAATATTTTTCAAATATTTTTCAAATTTTCGTAATGACATTGTATTGTATTTTATATAAATAAACTAATTAATATATTTATATAAATAATTCGTGTCCTTAACCTATTAACGGTGATACCATGTTTGACCGCTTTAGTACCTACAAGAGTCCTTGAATCCATTTTTTTTCATAATGATGCTAATTCACAATATAATGCCAGTATCAATAGCATGAAAAATCACCTAGTAATATCAAAATTGAGATATCTCACGCGAGAATCTAACCCTTGTATCTGTATTATAACCACATCGCTATAAAGTTAATTATTATTATGCTTAGTATTGTCTTTGATTAACATAACTTTTATTCATTTAATAAAACACTATTTTGACCGGATTGAAGTTATGTATTATTATAAATTTACAACTATTTAACATAATTTTAAATTTATCCGACGTTTCGCGTGCTTTACAGCGTGCGTGGTCACGGTGACTGAAGACAAAAGATGTTGAATGTCAAAAAGTATCACAGCTGCAGAGAAAGTTGCATTATCTGTATTTATTTCCCCGGAGTTGGTATCGACTAAAAGATGGAGGGTTTTGGCAAAAATGGCTAACATAAAAAAAAAAAAAAAAAAAAAAAAAAAAGTGAAAAATATTTTAAATATAAAAAAAAAAGAAAAAAAAAATAGTTTTAAAAACCAAAAAAAAAAAAAAGATTAATATAAAGAAACAAAAAAAAATAATAAAAAAAAAAAAAAAAAAAAAGAAAAAATAAAAAAAAAATAAAAAAAAAGAAAAAAAAGAAAATAAAATAAAAAAAAAAAAAATAATAAAGAAATAAAAAAGAAAAAAAAAAAAAAAAAAAACAAAAAAGAAATAATTTTTTTAAAAACCGCCGCGGCTTACTCGCAGAAGGAAAAGCCCAGCACAGGGCACGCGACACCGAGACGCACTTTTTTTTAATGGGGGGACGACACCACACAACGCCCACAAAAATAAAAAAGGAGGAAAAAGGAAGAAAAATGTTTATTTAAAAGGGAAAACAACCCGCGCGACGACAAAAGGAAAAAAAAAAAAAACATTTTTAAAACAAACCGAAAAATGAATGATACTTGCTAAAAAGATATAAAAAATGATCACGGAACAAACACAGAAATCTGCCCTACAAATTTGCAGCGCCATTGTATTTTTTTATAAAAAACAAATAAAGTATCCAAATTATTATGTTTACGTATTTGTTTATTAGTAGAACTGCTAATTACGGTTTACGGGAACTCCGTAACAGCTTTAGTTTTTCATGGTGATAGATTCAATGTCAAAGGCAGTTTTTGCAGCGCACCACCACTATGTGGAAGCCAACAAATGCGCAACACAGTCTGTGCACTTTTGCATCACACTAGTTTTAAGCTGCCCCTCTATCTAGAATTCCTACGTATGATAATATTAGCACAGGCACGTTAGTCAATAGCTAAGTGACGTCACATGCGCGCGCACACTACTCCTTTGACCTTTAAACTCCTGACTGGAGCAGAGATTATTGATCGTACAGTGTATTTATAAATACTTGTGAATGGATGAATTTCCTGTATTTTGCCGGTTGAGCAACAGGCAGGAGTGACCAGAGATATATTCTATATTATCTACTAATGCAACTTGAAGCAAAGGTTCTTCATATATGTTACGATTTACATAATAATTGTATGCCGCGACATCTAGCATAGTTGTTGATAACACATTTAATTGCGTATATTAAGAACATGGAGCAGTGTTGGCCTAGTGGCTTTAGCGTGCGACTCTCATCCTTGAGGTCGTAGGTTCGATCCCGGCTGGGCACCAATGGATTTTCTTTCTGTGTGCGCATTTAATATTAGCTCGAACGGTGAAGGAAAACATTGTAAGGAAACAGCCTCAGGCACAGTAGTCTGATCACCTTCTTGTCTATTAGACTGACAAATGACCACGAAACAGATTCAGAAATCTGAGGCCCAGACTTAAAAAGCTTGTTGCGCCACTTGTTTATTTTTATATTCAGATTATATAGTTTAAAATATTTTAATTGTCTAAATACACTTCCTTAACAATCTATTGTTTTAAGACCTTCTGTACGATATAATGACCTAAGATCTTTAAAATTTTCCTATACCTTTTCAGAGACTCGCACCAAATAGATCTCCCTCCTTTCGGGAAGTACGCAACTGGCATATTCTTCCTGGACAAGCTCCATCACCAGAACATTGAAGCCAAGTTCTTGATTCTCGCTGAGAGTCTTGGACTTAAAGTCCTCTGTTGGAGAACTGTTCCAACCAACAATTCTACCATTGGTAAGATATTTTCTATTACATTTGTTTTATCAATGACTTTATTAATGTTAAATTCTGAATTCATAGTTGCGTTAAGGGTCCTCTTCATTCTCAAAATTACTTAGGGGCCGTTCTAGTATTACGTAAGCACTAAGGGGGGGGACTTTGATTTTGTTATTTAGTGATTACGTCAACAGTAATTATTTACTTTATTAGACATATTACCTATGTCTATGCTTAAAAGCTTAATTCATTTTCGAGGGTTTTCGAGAAATTAATACGTAGTAAGCAAAGCTCTCAAAAATAATAGTAGGTACTACTATTATTTTTGAGAGCTTTGCTTACTTTATTTTTGAGAGGAAGAGGGGGGGGTATAAATTGTAGTAACGTAATACTTGGACGGCCCTACAATACTTGAAGATATAGTTTTATGTAATTTGATTTACTAAAGAATCTGGGATAAAAGCTGATGTTTATTTATGAGACTTGATTCTCCTATTCTAGCAACAATAGTACCCTGTTGTCCAACTTTATTCAAAATATCAGGGCTCTATAACTTCCAATACCGACAAAAATCCCGTTCTCTAATGAGTTAGTTCCGCAATCCAAAGGTTGCGATATCAGTGCTTCTGAGAACATCGAACTTAAATGCAAAAACGTTGGCATCGGTATTGTCCCTATTGAAAGTTAACACAGCAAGGGCGCTGTGTTCCCCAACAATAAGATGTAGGGCAAATCATAAACGCTTTCGTGCCTTAATAGTCCGGTCAATCTATACATTGCAAGCTTCCAGAATTACCAGCAAGCTGAAACTGAGTAAACTTGTTCAAAACACAATTAAAAACAACTTTTCAAAATTCCCCATCTTTACGACCCATGGAAAAAATAGATAATTTTATGATCTACAATTTTTGTCCGAGGTAATTTTATGATAAAACTTGCCGTTTTGAAGAAAATCGCGAAAAACCCATTTTTCTTACCTTTAGCCGTGGGTAAATTTTTTTCCATGGGTCGTAACGATGGGGGAATTGAAAAGTTGTTTTTAATTGTGTTTTGAACAAGGTTACTTAGTTGCAGCTTGGTGGTTATTCCAGTAGCTTCGCTCTTGTTTTTTGACCCAATTTGACCGGACTATAAATAAGTCTTTTCGGTAGAACGATCTAAACTACTTGAAACTCTTGCTTTGTACCGCAGAACTAGGAGAATCAATGAACACTAGCTGTAAATGTAATGAAGGAGGCCCTTCGAAAAGTCATTTGTAACAATGCCGATCTTGTTCGTATCATCACATTGTCTCGCTTCCATACGGGCAGTTGCGATGTTGTTTCGCTACTCATTGCAGGTCGTACACGTAGTATTGGGTCGTAAAAAGCGGCCGAGCCGGTCATGCGATGCTTTGACCACACGGTTTGTTCAATTTAACACTGTATGTGCTACTGTTGAAGCTAAAATCACTCTGTCCTCATATTTTTCTCGATATTAATGTTATAATTCTTTGTAATGTGTAGAAGAGATGTTTCGATTTAAGTATGGGAACAGATTAACTCATAGTATCAGTTGCCATATCAAATTCATTCATTGTAATGTATTTTGTTTTTATTAGAGCAATTTAAAAGTAATATTATTTGTACAATTTAATTCCGATTATGTAAATTTTTGTTTTCATACAACCTGATATGAGATTATAAGTGTGTCGATAAATGTGTTGGAAGTCCATTCCCAGTGATCTTATCAATACTAGTTAAATTCCGATAGTTAAATATAGTAGTTAGAGGTATAGCAAATGGCTCTAGAGGACAGTCAAGTAATTGCCAATTTTAACTAACTTTCAGGTCAAGTGGCTCGTAACTCGGAGCCATATATGCGTCAAGTGTTTGTAACTGGCGATATTGACGACGAACAGCATCTCGCCCGTCAGGTAAGAGATATCGGTACCAATACGATACTACGAGTATGAACTTGCAACGCAGTGTGCGATTTCAAACTCTACTCTATAATAAGGACGACGAACTCTTGAAGGATTTCTTTCAGATCGCGCGCCAGCCGCTGCTGAGTCGAGACTCGCCGTTGCAAACGTAATTTTAAAACCCTTATTGCCCGTTCGTGGACCGTTTTTGGATCGTTTCTGGATTGTATGTTATGTTCGCAGGTGTTCGTGTTACGTAAACGTGCGTCGCACGAGCTTATCCTGCCCGGAGCTCGGTTCTATATTTGCAGTCTGTCGTTAAAAACCGTCGTCTATAAAGGATTGCTGACGTCCAACCAATTATGGGTAACACATACATATTGTTCTTTGTGATTAAGTTTTTAATCGGATATTAAAACAAGATTAATTTTTAAAAGTTCCAAGTAGGCAAACATTTTATTTTGTATATATTTTGCAAACTGTACTAACACGGTTTAATTAAATAATATTTGCATGTTTTTAAAAATACTTTATTGTCTTGTTTCATCAGGGCAATGTTGGAATTTTTACTGAGTATGTCATTTAAGCAGTTAACTGAAACAATGTATTATGTGTTCTAGGAATACTTCAAAGATCTGTCGAACCCCGCGTTCACAACGTACCTGGCTCTGGTGCATACCAGATTCTCCACGAACACCTTCCCAAGCTGGGAGAGAGCACATCCTTTAAGGTAATTATAAATTATGTGTGATAGTAGTGGCGCCATGAAGTTTGCCCAGATCCCGAGTTCCACATAACCCTTACCCAAGAAGTCCGGCCGCGGGGTAGTGCAGGGGGGAGGGTATGCGCCACGCATTTGCCCACTTAATAAATAATAACATAGAACGTTTACCGATATCTTAGCCGAGGTTCATTTAAGTTTTCTATTTAAAACTTTGAGATTATAACGTAAATAATTCATCTAAAAACTATCGAATGACTTTTCGTGGTCAATATTATTTTAGGTTCTTTTCTTCTTTTTCTCTTCTTCATAGTGACGTCGTGTGTGATAAATTCAGTATTATATATTAAAAATTATAAGCCAAATTGGCCATAATAACGGATTCTTTGGAATAGATGAATTCTCATTTAAAACGTTACTGTAAATACTTTTCAGGGTTCTAGCTCACAATGGAGAGATAAATACGTTGCGAGGTAACGTGAATTTGATGAAGGCCCGCGAGGGTGTGATGAAGAGCAACAAGTATGGAGAAGGTATGTGTCTCACTCACACTCTATTTGTAAGATTATACGTGGATAGTTTGACTATCTCAGAATCCATAAATGGGGAGATCAATTTTATGTACCCATGAACATATATAAGACGAAGAAATACAAAGCTATGTTAAATTAGTATGAAAATACAAAATATAATTTCCAATCAGTCAATTTATGACCTATCAAAATCTAATCATCAAAAATCTAATTTATTGGCTTACTTCGATTTTGGATCTAAGATATGTAGATCAGCTATTCAATCACAATAACAATCCATTGGTGGCACAACCGTTTGAACTGGACCTTAGCGATAAATCACACAACTACTTCTCCCTATTATACTCTCTCTTCTTAATTATAGACCTGAAGAAACTCTACCCAGTAGTGGAACCAAATCTATCGGATTCTGGTTCCGCTGACTGCGTTTTGGAGTTCTTACTCCATGCCGGAAATCGATCTCTCCCCGAAGCCGTCATGACCATGGTGCCAGAGGCATGGCACAATGACCAGACCATGGACAAAGAGAAGAGAGACTACTACATGTGGGCTTCTTGTGCCATGGAACCCTGGGACGGGCCAGCTTTGATTTCCTTCACTGATGGACGGTACATAGGTAAGTTAATAGTCAATATTTTAGTTATGCACTTCTTGCACTTTATCCTTGTATGATCTATATTTCCTTACTAGGGTCGCCTAAAACAGATCGATTTATAGCGGCCGCCCATTGCATCCCTAAAAAAAATTATTTATTTTTTGGTGTATTTGTATCGACATGACGTTCTTGATATGGGCAACGGCATGGTCTTGGTATATAACTCGACATGACGTTCTTGACATGGGCAAGGGCATGGTCTTGGTATATAACTCGACATGACGTTCTTGACATGGGCAAGGGCATGGTCTTGGTATATAACTCGACATGACGTTCTTGACATGGGCAACGGCATGGTCTTGGTATATAACTCGACATGACGTTCTTGACATGGGCAACGGCATGGTCTTGGTATATAACTCGACATGACGTTCTTGACATGGGCAAGGGCATGGTCTTGGTATATAACTCGACATGACGTTCTTGACATGGGCAACGGCATGGTCTTGGTATATAACTCGACATGACGTTCTTGACATGGGCAAGGGCATGGTCTTGGTATATAACTCGACATGACGTTCTTGACATGGGCAAGGGCATGGTCTTGGTATATAACTCGACATGACGTTCTTGACATGGGCAAGGGCATGGTCTTGGTATATAACTCGACATGACGTTCTTGACATGGGCAAGGGCATGGTCTTGGTATATAACTCGACATGACGTTCTTGACATGGGCAAGGGCATGGTCTTGGTATATAACTCGACATGACGTTCTTGACATGGGCAAGGGCATGGTCTTGGTATATAACTCGACATGACGTTCTTGACATGGGCAAGGGCATGGTCTTGGTATGACAGGAAGGGCATGGTTTGGTATATAACTCGACATGACGTTCTTGACATGGGCAAGGGCATGGTCTTGGTATATAACTCGACATGACGTTCTTGACATGGGCAAGGGCATGGTCTTGGTATATAACTCGACATGACGTTCTTGACATGGGCAAGGGCATGGTCTTGGTATATAACTCGACATGACGTTCTTGACATGGGCAAGGGCATGGTCTTGGTATATAACTCGACATGACGTTCTTGACATGGGCAAGGGCATGGTCTTGGTATATAACTCGACATGACGTTCTTGACATGGGCAGGAAGGGCATGGTCTTGGTATATAACTCGACATGACGTTCTTGACATGGGCAAGGGCATGGTCTTGGTATATAACTCGACATGACGTTCTTGACATGGGCAAGGGCATGGTCTTGGTATATAACTCGACATGACGTTCTTGACATGGGCAAGGGCATGGTCTTGGTATGGGTGGTATATAACTCGACATGACGTTCTTGACATGGGCAAGGGCATGGTTTGGTATAAACTCGACATGACGTTCTTGACATGGGCAAGGGCATGGTCTTGGTATATAACTCGACATGACGTTCTTGACATGGGCAAGGGCATGGTCTTGGTATATAACTCGACATGACGTTCTTGACATGGGCAAGGGCATGGTATGGACATGGGAAGGGATGGTTTGGTATATAACTCGACATGACGTTCTTGACATGGGCAAGGGCATGGTCTTGGTATATAACTCGACATGACGTTCTTGACATGGGCAAGGGCATGGTCTTGGTATATAACTCGACATGACGTTCTTGACATGGGCAAGGGCATGGTCTTGGTATATAACTCGACATGACGTTCTTGACATGGGCAAGGGCATGGTCTTGGTATATAACTCGACATGACGTTCTTGACATGGGCAAGGGCATGGTCTTGGTATATAACTCGACATGACGTTCTTGACATGGGCAAGGGCATGGTCTTGGTATATAACTCGACATGACGTTCTTGACATGGGCAAGGGCATGGTCTTGGTATATAACTCGACATGACGTTCTTGACATGGGCAAGGGCATGGTCTTGGTATATAACTCGACATGACGTTCTTGACATGGGCAAGGGCATGGTCTTGGTATATAACTCGACATGACGTTCTTGACATGGGCAAGGGCATGGTCTTGGTATATAACTCGACATGACGTTCTTGACATGGGCAAGGGCATGGTCTTGGTATATAACTCGACATGACGTTCTTGACATGGGCAAGGGCATGGTCTTGGTATATAACTCGACATGACGTTCTTGACATGGGCAAGGGCATGGTCTTGGTATATAACTCGACATGACGTTCTTGACATGGGCAAGGGCATGGTCTTGGTATATAACTCGACGTGACGTCCTTTATATTGCTGTTTTCGGACGTTATTAAGATGCTTCATGATGGAATCGTGCATTAACTGTTTAAGGATTTTTGCCAACTATATTTTGAATTGTCTTCCAGGTGCCATACTTGATAGGAACGGTCTCCGTCCATCTCGATTCTACGTCACAAATGAGAATATCCTCGTCATGGCCTCTGAAGTCGGCGTGTATGATGTTGATCCTGAGAAAGTTATTCTAAAGGTAATGGAATTTTTTACTGTTTTAATATAGTTCTAGTATCTAACTTAGAGGTTTATTTATTTATATGTTCACGAATTTTATCCAAAGTTGGCAAAGACCTCGGATCTCTATTTGTCGTACTTGACATACCTCTCTCGCTTCATCCACTTTCATGACATTTACAATACTCCTCAGTTATTTTTTTACAAATGCTTGCCAACGCTCGGCATACTGATACATTGGTACATAAGTTAAACTAAATCATAGGACCCGACAGACAAAAACATCTAATAGTAAATCTAAATTCTAAACCAATTTCGAAACTACTTAACAGGTTATTAGGTTACTTATTAGGCACTGTACACAGACCATATGAGGTCGACTGTAGACGGAAAGCTCTAATCTGCTTGCAGCTACAACTTCTAGGATTTTTGGAGTTTTGGACGAACGGGGATAGTTGCGTATATGGCGCGGAATTGACAGAACATATAATTGAGAACCTAAAAAAGCACCATCGAACTATTTAAACATTTTTTCTAACATTTAGGCTTTCATTTGAACCTCAAGGGAAACTACCTTTCATAAAAACGAACTAGACATAAGGGTTATTTCCACTTTCATGCTTGGACAAGTGAACCTGTTAACTAAAATTTCATCAAAATCGGTGCAGCCCTTTGGTTGGGTGTTAACAATTGTAAAACTGTATATATAAACAATATTTTTTTACACAATTTTTTCAGAGTCGCCTAAAACCAGGTCGTATGTTGCTTGTGGATACTGAGGACAAACGTATCATTCAAGACGTCGAACTCAAGAGAAAGATTGCCCGAAGCAGACCGCATTCGCAATGGATTCAAGAACAGGTATATTGTTTGTATTGATAATGAAAGATATACTATTAATAAATGGGTATTTTGATATAGAATAATAGGAACAGGGCTTTAAATTAAATCCATATGTATAGGCGTTGCAAATAACATAAAGAACTAAATCAATTTATTTATTCACAAAAATACATACATAAATAAAAAAGTGCGTGCGTACAAAGTACACATGTCAGAAGTGACACTTCTTTGGCAAACTAATTATTAAGTCTTGCTTGCTATACAAATCTAAAACTAACTAAGTTAAAGTCAAAAGTTTTAAATTCTCTCACTCAATCTTTCTCACTAAAGCTCTTTCCCACCTCTCGCTCTATGGCACTGTGCGTGATGCGACGTTCGCTCTATCTCACTCTCTCTCTCGATATTTTTCAAGTGGCTTGCTCCCTACTCTCGCTCCATGGCTATTTGCTTCATGCTACGCCCTTTCTCGCTCTCTTCCTTTTCTTCAAAAAAAAAAAAACGCTGCACATCTTCGTGACGCTAATATTTATTATTATTGCGTTTCATCTGCAAAAATTCTACCCTCATGCGCCTAAAAAAGTTTCACTTAAAAAACTCTAATATTAAATACATAAGATACACAATGTAGCTATTGTGAACTCTGCGAACATATAAATATGTCGATAGTGTCGGAGACAGCATTCAGTAGGCGCAACATCTTTGTTAACGTCTGTGCAACAGACTGGTTCCGACCTTTGGTGTCGCAAATTACCTTGGCCTTCACTGTCACCCACTTGCTCACCAACCCCGCAAGACTTTAAGTAGATAGTTTCTTTGGTTTTTTATTGAAGAAATGCATAGCGCACCCTTCCCCAGTGCGACAGCTTAGTGAGGCAGGGTTATGTGGGATTCGCTATTCACATAATTCTGCATACCCACTAAAACCCTAAGGCGCCACCAACAATCTGCCGAGGCGGTATGCGGTAACAGCAGAGACTTATCCGCTTTCCGACTCGCGATATAACGGCGCGGCGTCCACACCCGCTGTTAGTTTGTGAAGATACTTGATACAGCAAGTATCCTTCATAGACCGGGCTGTTTTGTAGTAATAGCTAGGGAAGGTCGAGTCCAGTACTTTCAGGGATAGATCACCATCCCTTCTTTTGAACGTATGTATCCCTGCTTCCCCACTTGGGCACTTTTTAGGTGACGAGGATATCGTCAGCGAGTCGCTGAAAGTCCCTTCTTGTTTCTAATTTATTGTACCCACTATTAGTTATTAATTACGCTATAGGGAACGGCAGATTATAAAACGGTTAATAGTACCGTTACCATGGCAACAATTTTTGTATGTAGCAAGAATGGTAACGAACTTTAGTCAATGTTTTGTAAGACTGTTTACTAAGGGGAATATACTGTTTCTATATTAAATTTATAATGTTTCATGCGACAATTTTTGGAATAGATGGTGAGTTAAATGTCCGAAAATGTATTTCAAACTAAATCTTTTAAACTGTGATGGTAATGGTAGTTTTTTAGAATCATGCAATAGACAAAATTGAGAAAATTTGTTTTTGACCCTAATTTAGCAAATATGAATACTGTATATTAAGCTTATCGTCCCTGTAGAATGATAACCTCGTATGTCAAAAAACCGCACGAATTTTTTTTATTCTTAGACTCTTATGTCATTTAACTAGTATAATCATGATTTAAGGACTTATTTATGTTATTAATAAATAAGTCCTTTTTACCATCCAAAACTATGGACAAAAATACCTAATAATATTTTAACGAACATTTGACGAAATGAAACATTTTTTTCGTTTCCTGTAATGTACATACGAGGTTATCATTCTACAGCGACGTTATGTAATTAATTACGATAAAGTACTCTCAGTAGAGTGCCTAGCCACTAGGCCTGTGACTCTCATCCCTGAGGTAGCTTCGATCCCCGGCTGTGCACCAATGGACTTTCTTTCTATGTGCGCATTTAACATTCGCTCGAACGGTGAAGGAAAATATCGTGAGAACACCGGCTTGCCTTAGAGTCAAAAATTCGACGGCGTTTGTCAGGCACAGAAGGCTGATCAACTACTTGCCTATAAGATTGACAAATGATTATGAAACAGATACAAATCTGAGGCCCAGACCTAAAAAGGTTGTAGCGCCATTGGTACTTGTCAAACTACGCTCGGAAATTAACCGGCGTGGCAGTTTTGCGAACAAATATGCTTATTTGTTATATTTCATTCACAAATATTATATTCTTGTTTATTTATTAAGTATCAAGATTACTGTCGAACTATAATGACGTAATAATAAAAAACATGGCGATTAAAAAGAATGGCGGAAAGTTTATTGCCAGTTCTTCTCTTCCGTTCTACGCCCTTGATTTGAGAACTGGCACTAAATGTAAAGTTAGAAGCATTTCATATACATTTATTTTTTTGACGTTCATAAGTGTACATTGTGTTACCTATATGATTACATGATTTTTTACTTTACTTTAATATGGAACTGGCAATTTTGTCGGCTTTAGCGAATATTTTTCATTTGAATCTTAATTCCAGATGTCAATGGAAGATATCCACAAATCGATACCACCGCAGAACGGTTCTCTTAACGGAGGTACCACGGAACCCATATCTGGTCTTTCGGATATGAGACTCGGTCTTTTCGGATACACCATCGAATCGATTAATATGCTGCTTCTGCCAATGATACAGAATAAGTAAGTGTTCTTTTATCATATTAAATGATAACTGCTTTAACCGAGTTCAAAAAAGAAGGTTATCTGTTTGTCTTGCTTATGACATATCGTCATAGTCGTAGTATAGCGACGGATCTGACAAATAGAAACCTTTACAGGGCAGCCATTTCAAGATAATATAATCATGTTAGTTTTTGTCATAAATATTTTAATTCATATTCTGTTATTATGAAAATTGGCATACAAGCAAACAAAAGGTTTTGTTTCGAAAATAAAATAAAAAAAGTAACATTAATTTACACAGTTCTCTAGAAAAATCACATGTTAATCAAATCCGTCACTTTACCGGCTGATTAATTTGAAATTTAAAACACATGGATTTTTTTTAATGTAGCCGTAATATTTAGTCAATTTAGTATCCAAATATGATAAAAAGTGGATTTTGTTTTTTTTTCAAATCCGACACTGTTCTACGATCATGACGATATATACCCATTTTACCCACTAAAAATGGGTGTCTATGGGCTGTGATGACTGCCCTCCCGGTGTCTCGCAGGCTCGATTGCCCCCTATTATATAAGAAAAAATATATATTAAATAATTTATTTAATGTTTTGTTATGATAACAAATATAACAAAGGAGTTAACATAAGTGCATTCATAACAAGGCACCAAGCGTACTCCCTGGTTAACGGCGTGCCCGCTCACATACGCGTGAAACATGCAGAACCAGTTTTCTTGCAAGTAACGATAAAAAGATGTCGATAAAAATAAGTAACATGTATTTGCTACAAATATGACATGTTAAGTTCGTAAGTAAATTTCTCACAAATTTTTCATAACAAAGTTTCATCATGATCAGTTGAATAGTTCTTGAGATATAATATCAAGAATACCCAATTCCAGGTACTTCTGGATGGAGACTTTCTGGTCCAGGTATTAAAGTCGGTTTAATTTGTGATAACTTTTTCAGGAAAGAAGCGCTAGGAAGTATGGGAAATGACGCCCCACTGGCTTGCCTTTCTCAATTCCAGCCTCTGCCATACGAATACTTCAAACAATTATTCGCACAAGTTACGAACCCGCCCATCGACCCTTTCAGGTAAATTTATTTATTCAATAATTCCTTTCTTTCTTCACGAACTTAATAATAGACCAAAAATTGTCTAGATTAGTCTGAGCTCCGAATAATATTCAACAGTTCAATAATTTTTTATCCTTCAATTTAGAATACAATTACTTTTTAACTAACAGTTTGTTGTAGATTCAGCGGCAAAGGCTTACATTAGGCGTTCTTAAATTTTGCAACTTTCTGCAAAAATTACTACAACCTATTATTAAATAAAAAACTTTTATGATTAAAAATGCTCAATAAACCTAAAAAGTAATGGTTCTGTCAAAGCACCAAGTTCAGAAGCGCAACATTAAAGCCATGATGATCCCCAACCTTCGAAAGGATAATCTATAAAAAAACATACATACAGTCGACTCTCGATAATTTGAAACTCAAGGGACCAGATATAAATTTCAAATTATCAAGAGTTCAAAATAACAAGTGTTTCAATAACCACGAGGGGGAGGGGTGACTGAAGGAAATAAGAATTTGATCAAAATTTGTTACTTATTATTTCTATATTCTTATTATGTTTTAACAATTATTATAACAATTATTCACAAATTTTTATCAAGACAAGTCTGTGCATGTATGTAAACAAACGATAGGTATGTGCATGATAAACGCTTCAAATTATAGAGAGTAGGCAAGACCGGATTTCAAATTATCGCATGTTGGCGAGCAAGATAATACTCTTTCAAGTTCAAATTACCGAAGGGACCAATTATCATTGATTTTATTCAATTTATCGAGTATTTTTCAAGGGACCGGATTTTGTTTTCAAATTATCGAGAGATTCAAATTAACGAGTGTCAAATTATCGAGAGTCGACTGTACCTTGAAGAGATTTTTTTTTTAATTTTACTAAAGAACTAAGGCATACATAGGTATATTGTTACGACTGATTCTTAATTCTTGCTATTACCAAATTCATTAAAATGTTCATTATGTGGTATATATCTTAGAACCATTGTGATATATTTTCAGAGAGAAAATCGTCATGTCCCTAATGTGCCCAATTGGTCCCACTGCTAATATTCTGGAACCGAGTGCCGAGTTCGTTCATCGACTGTTCCTGCCTCAACCAATACTTTCTATACCCGACTGCGAGGCTTTAAAGAAGAGTAATTACCGGGGATGGAAGGTAATTATGATGCCTCCATTTAACAATAGAATGTATATGTACGTCACATAAGCCCCGCCCCATTGTGGAGATTTCATACAAGATCGAGCTATTTTTAACATAAATGCTTCAACGTTTTTCAGACAAAAGTAATAGACTGCACATTCGAATACACTGATGGGCCTTTGGGCCTAGAGGCAGCATTGACCAGTATCTCTAAAGAGGCCCACACTGCTGCAACCGCTGGATACCAACTTCTGGTGCTTTCTGAGCGATTGGCCGGACCCAGACGAGTGCCAGTTAGCTCTTTGCTTGCTCTTGGTAAGTTGTATACCTTGTATTTTTTTAAGATATCAACTAATTTTAAACATATATTAGGAATAATTTTAATTATACATTCAAGTTTTCTGAATAAAACCAAAATGGTCTAAATAACAATTTCACGTGAAGTGGACGCGTGACCAAAATTTGTCATAGTTCTGATAATTTGTACTTCTAGTAGGTATGAATGGAACAGATTTTTTTGTATGCTGTTTATTTGTCAAATTTCGGACTTCTAAATTTTTATACTATTTTTTTGGTTTTTCAAATTAACCAAATTTATTTTAAAATATTAAATATGGCTACATAAATAATAATTTTTAACTGTTTTCATTCTAATAAAATTCACAAAATATAAATTTTTGTAATATTGGTCAAATCAAAATTTTATTTCAAATTATAGGCTAATTTTATTACACTAGAAGTTTTAAAATGGTATCTGCAAAATTTTGGGAGATCAATTTAATTAAAGTACTTGTCGCACTGAACGTACGTAAAGGTTCGAACTCCTTGCTTACCGTAAAACTATTGGACCACTTTTGAAATATAAAATCGTAGTGAAAGCATTCCTAAGTTTTGTCCCTTATAACATTTTCCAGGAACAGACCAAGTTCGTTTAAAGCCCGATAAAACTTAGCATGTTAAACTGGGATAATTTTAAAACCTAGCTTAAGAACAAAAAAGAACAATAAATGCGATTAGCTTGGTAACCTTAAAATATAAAAACTAAAATATTTTATTAAAATGAGTTCCTTTCCCAAAGATTCCTGAAGATACTGAGCTTATTGCTTGCCTGTTTGAACAAGTTTTACTAAGTCCCCCTTTGCGGCTCTTCAGGTCTCCTGGAATGTTAACCTTTTTATAAAAACAAGATGTTTGGACTTGAAACATTTATGTTAGATTTATTGCATGTAATCAAAAACATGTAAAGTTACACTGATATCTGTAAAATTATTATTACTAATGTAAAATCGCCAATAGATGAATAAGTTCCAAACTAAGTCCCTTACCCATGTATTTGCAGGTGCGGTACATCATCACCTGATTTAGACACTGTCAGCGCATAAGGTTGGGATCATCGTGGATAACTGTGAAGCTTTCTTACAAAAGTGCACCATATGTGTCTTTCTCGCTTGGTGAGTTAGGAACTTGCTCCATTGGCCATTTTTTAATTTTTATAAATTCAGCCAATCACTAAAAAATTTGCAAAATATGTTTCTTCCTTTTTTCGTTTTAAAACGCTGCAGATCTTATTAACCCCATATCTTTGTTATTGTGTTTCATCTAGGAAAAGAATAATTATTTTTCTTTCAAACTATTATTATTATCATTAATGTGCAAGAAATATTCTCAAGATCCGCTTCACTACTACCGCTTTTTACTTACTTGTGAACTCTTGTAATCGACTCCCGGTGGAGGTCTTCTCTGGAAGACGACTATAGAGTTGTTCGGATAAATACCTGCAGCATGCGTTTCATCATCCGCACGATGCCGAAGCAGAAACGAATATCCATCCGTATCACCTCGACGTCTGTTGTTCCACAACTGAGCTTTATTAAGACAATTTTTGCCGCGCACTACCACTATTTCCACCACACCAATTTGACTTACCTTCAAGAAAAGAGCGTACCAATTGTGAAAAACCCGGCAACACCCTCGCGAGCCCTCTGGCATTGAGAGGCGCGGTAATACTAAACATCAGATGAGCTTCCTGCCCGTTTGCCCCTTTCTTTAAAAACACCTACTGAAATGTAAATCGAAAAACATAAATTTAAAAAAAAAGTCTAAATTTAATTTACAGAGTATATATCTATAAAATATCTTTACAGGTTACGGTGCAGACGCTATATGTCCCTACTTAGCGTTCGAGCTGGCGTTTTCACTTCGAAACGACAATATTCTAGACCCGACCTTAACCGACGCAGACATATACACGGCGTACCAGAAATCTATTGAGACTGGCTTGGCCAAAGTCATGGCCAAGATGGGGATCAGCACCTTACAGTCGTACAAAGGAGCACAAATCTTCGAGGCCGTTGGGCTCAGTGAGGAAGTCGTGGACAAGTGCTTTAGAGGCACGCAGTCTAGGATTGGTGAGTGATTATAGAAGATAATTGTCTTTGGTATTCGTGATTAAATAATGTTTAATCATCTAAGTAAAATTCTCGTGTCACAATGTTCGTTCCCAAACTCCTCCGAAACAGCTCGACCATTCTAATGTGTTTTTTTATGCAGTTAAGTCTGAGAATCGGCTACTATCTATCTTTCAAACCCCTATAATATAGTAATAAGGGGTCCAGCCCAAATTTTGTTTTTTTATTTTTTAGATATTTTTTGTTATTTTTTTATGATACATAAAAAATACAAACAACCCCTAATTTTCACTCCTCTATAGTCAACCCCTATTTTTTATTATTGTAGATAGTTATTTTTGTTGGGATTGCAACATTTCTACTTCAGTTTTTCTTATTTTTATTTTTAGTAAAATTTTGTATCCATATTTCTGAGTTCAACAACTTGAAGTTTAAATTACACTCGTGCTTAAATTTGATAGCGAATGTTATTTAACATGAGAGAAAAGTAAAAATATATCTGTTGAGCGTACAAATTCTTAAACGGCCGGCAACGCACTTGCGAGCATTCTGGCAATGTGATCTATGCGGTATCACTTATCATCAGGTAACCCTCCTTCCCTTTGGCCTCCTGTTACATGTTACACTAAAACAAAGTTAAGTATGACTAAATCATAAAATTACCCATGTATACCATTATAGTATAAACTGTAAAAATAACTGTATTTTTTCATAATAGGTGGTGTAACGTTCGAAATATTATCGAAAGAGATATTCGACCGACATGCTCTCACCTACGGAGATTGTAAAGATATGCTGGTCTTACGGTGAGTGACATTATAATACTTAAAAGTTTCCGTTCAAGTATTACGTAAGCTATTTTACTGAATTTGTTTGCGATCCTGTGTCAAGCTCTTCTCTTACTATATATTTTTCGCCCCCCCAGGGGGGGGAGGGGGGGGGGGGGGGGGGGGGGGGGGGGGAAAAAAAAAAAAAAAAAAAAAAAAAAAAAAAAAAAAAAACACCCCCCCCCCCCCGCCCGCGGGGGGGCCCCCCCCCCACAACCCAAAAACAAAAAAAAAAAAAAAAAAAAAAAAAAAAAAAAAAAATTTTATTTTTTTTTATAAAAAAAGGGGGGGGGGGCCCCGCGGGGGGGGGGGGGGGGGGGGGGGGGGGGGGGGGGGGGGGGGGGCCCCCCCCCCCCCCCCCGGGGGGGTGGGTGGGGGGGGGGGGGGGGGTTATTTTTTTTTTTTTTTTTTTTTTTCCCCCGGGGGGGGGGGGGGGGGGGGGGGGGGGGGGGTAAAACCCAAAGGGGGGGGGCCGGGGGAAATTTAAAAAAAAAAAAAAAAAAAAAAAAAACCCTATTTTTGGTGGGGGGAAAAAAAAAACCCGGGCCAAGCCAAAAAAAAAAAAGCAACAAATATTCTTAAGTAAATGCTACGTACCAAATTAAGTTTTTTTCACAAAAACTAAAAATGCTAATAATTTCATTTTATAGCTTTACTTTACCATCGTCAACTTAACCTCTGGAACTTTCAAAACTTCATCTTTAACATTTCACAAGCACAGGGAATTTTAAACAACATCTCAACCTGTCTAAAATTATTAGATGCCTACACAATACACGGAATCCTATTCAGTGCTAAGCTAGTACACTTTCTGTTTTGTGGATATACATTTTTAATTATATTATAATAAAGTTATTTCTCCAAGATCTTAGAAACAGAAATATTTATCATATATATGCTTAATACAAACTATTATGTTATTACATAATTAAACATTATCTAAATAACTTTGAATTTTTAAATTCTTAGTCAAAAAAATGAAAAATTTAAAATAATGAAAATGTTGAATTATAGGAACCCCGGATACTACCACTGGCGCGCGGGTGGCGAAAAGCACATCAACGATCCGATGTCCATTGCCAACTTGCAGGAAGCCGCTTCTAACAAGAGCCAGTCCGGATATGACCGATTCAAGTATGCTCGCTGTGTTAATCTTTCAACAGTTAAAATAATTTCTAAAATATTATTTACTTGGCGCATAATCTCTATATATGTGACGCAGATTCAGAAAGAGTAACAATTGTGTGGTTATCATTGTCGTCCAACATTTATTAAAATAAATTGTGCGTGTACTAGGTGTACACACGTAAGAAGTGAAACTTCTTTATGATCTTATTTTTCGAAAAATGATCTACTATATGCAACTTTACAGAAATTCGTTAAATTAGATAAAGTTTAACAAAAGGCTTTTATTATCATAGACATGAATACAAATATTTCATTTTACCTTATTACTACGAAGATTATTATAGAATTTCATTAATTGTAATATAATTATTACTATCATTGAACAACGTGACGATTTGCTACAAAATTTCTCCCATACGTCGATAAAGAAGTTTCATTCCAACGCCGATAAAGAAGTTTGACTTCAAAAAGCAACATGGCGCGTAACCGAAAAATGTGACGCGTAACGAAAAAATGTTACACTAAATTTTTTTCCAACCTCGATAAAGAAGTTTCACTTCAAAAATAAAAACTACACACGCGTTAAAAGTTATACTTTTTTGGCGTAACAAGATAAGAATCTACTACTACTGACAGATTGGCAAATTGACATTGCCACATTAATCTGTAAAATGTCTATGATATTGCCTGGTGTTGCCATTCTAATGAAATAAATGGAATTGTTAACTTTTATTTATTTACTTGTTGTTTTGCCTTCTCTTTAATCCAACATAAAACATGTGTAGTTTAAAAATCGAAATTGGTAGAACACTTAACTTTTAGTTTCACAACAACTTAAAACAAATTTCAAATTCTATGTATTTATAACTATGTTTATGATATCAAGGAATTTACGAAATGATGCAGTCACACTCTCTTGCCTTGAGTCAGCTCGGGAAATTAGATTTAAGTTTGATTTACTTACTAGAAGAGTGGCGGAAAGTTTCTTGCCAGTTCTTCTTACCCGCTCTATGCCCTTGACTTGCGAACTGGTAGTAAATGTAAATTTAGAATCAATTTAACATATTTACTGTTGACGTTCATAAGTGTACTTGGTTAAATATATGAAAAAAGCTATTTTGAGTTTGAGAATAAGGGCGTAAGACTGGCTCAAGATATGGAACAAAAGTACTTTTAAAGCGATAAACGGTTTCCAGTGAAAATGTACCCTTGACCTGATTAAGGTCATCGAAATTAACCCTTAGTAGTCGTTATACATTTAAACTATACCAAGAAAATCTCTTACCAGATATTGTCTTTTTTCAGGGAAAGTGCGTTGGAGTCCGTCCGCGCCTGTACGCTTCGTGGTCAACTGGAGTTGGTGAAATTAGACGAATCCATCCCGTTGTCCGAAGTAGAACCCGCTTCGGAGATCGTCAAGAGATTTGCTACTGGTAGCTATTTATTTACTATTGACCTCTATCTATTTATTTACTATTGACCTCTATCTATTTATTTACTATTGACCTCTATCTATTTATTTACTATTGACCTCTATCTATTTATTTACTATTGACCTATATATATTTATTTACTATTGACGTCTATCTATTTATTTACTATTGACCTCTACCTATTTATTTACTATTGACCTCTATCTATTTATATATATCCTGTCCACCAATGCTTGAATCTCAAAGGGCTTGAAATATATTGTTACGAGACTTGTTTACGAGATATTTTTAAAAGCCTTATTAGATATCAAATTCTCATAATAATGTGATTTCAAATTGTTCATCTATATTGAGGTCAGAACAGTGTTGGCCTAGTGGCCTCAGTGTGCGACCCTCAACCCTCCTAGGAAGTCCATTGGTGTTACACTCTCTAGTACGATAAAGGAAGATATCGTGAGGAATGGAATGTCGTAGACACAAAAATCAACGTGCCAGGCATAGAAGGCTGATCCTACCTACTTGCCTATTAGAAAAACATCTTCACAAATATTAGAAGCTAAAACCAATGGTTGTAGCGCTACTTATAGGTTAGGGAGCGTTCAAGTATTACGTCACGCAATTTTTGGAGATTATGGACCCCCCTACGTTTCCCAACGTTTCGTGACCAACTAGTGACTCTTTATATCTAAAAGTTACCATTATGTGGTGTAAAGTACTGGAAAGTCGAAAATAATATTAACAATCACGAGTAACTCAATCCCCGCCCCGCATCGTAACGTTTTACAAAAGGAGAAACACAACCAATTTGTTACGTAATACTTGAACGGTCCCTTACCATTTAATAGATTCGCATTTCATCTAATATTGGATCAATACGTCTTCTATTATGAGGTTATCGAGCGAAGACCGTCATTTGACCTAAATGTCTCAATGTATTGGTTAGCTTAGTGTAGTATTTTTGTAACTACTACTACTAACGTACAAATACCGGCAGGCGGCAACGCACCCACTAATACATGGGCTTCGATGAATTCCCTTTTTTTGGGGTTCCGTAGATTCGTTTGCCCTCCTATCTTATAAGAAAAATTCACAATCAAATCCGAATCCTGGATCCTGGTTTTTTTATGTCGATTATGAAAAATATTATTCCAGGTGCCATGTCCTTCGGATCGATATCTTTGGAGGCTCACACGACTCTCGCAGTCGCAATGAATCGCATCGGAGGGAAATCCAATACTGGGGAAGGAGGAGAAAACGCTGATAGGTACTTGAATCAGGTCGGTGTCCTCTTAAGTGGATTTCCTGTATATAGGATAAATACATTTTTTATGTATTCAGATGATGTGAGATTTTAATTTATGTTAGTATTATTAATTACTTAAGATGTCTTGTGGAACATGGTTTAATGGTTGCAGCTGCTTACAAACGTTGTGTAAAACAAAACATGGCGATTAAAAAGAGTGGTGGAGAGTTTATTGCCAGTTCTTCTCTTCCGTTCTACACCCTTGATTTGAGAACTGGCACTAAATGTAAAGTTAAAAGCATTTCATATACCTTTCTTTTTTGAATGATTTGATGTTGCCATAATAACTTCGTCAATTGCCGCATAATTGCATTTGTTAAATATGTATAAATAAAAAATGAATCGCAAAATATATTGCTAAGCTCGAAACTTGAAGACGGCTGGACCAATATATTTTTTTTCTTAAACACTGAGGAAGGTTTCTATGTAGAAAAAAAATAACTAAATTTTGTTTGGTTGTAAGGTTGTTTGGTTTTTATTCCGGAAAAGCGAATAGTCTCTATGGGGTAGCATAGCAAGCTAGGCTAGTAGGCCATTTAAAAAAGTCTAGGCAAAACGAATTTCGCGGGGGCATAGACTAGTATTGTATAGAATATTTGAAGTATATTGCAATTTAAAAAAAATCAATTATATTAGTTTTTTCGAGTCACTCTCAATTAGATTCTAAACAGAGCTCATTGCTATGAACTAATTTAAGCGATAATCACCTTATTAAGGGCCTTGCTATATTTCAAATAATTTGGCAACACTAAAATAGCAAGTAAATTTTCTTCATTTTTTTTTATAACGGGCAATCAGACATGAGGTTCAACTGATGTAAAGTGCCCATGGACGCTGACATTGCCAGATGGCTCGCATAGACTGCCTTTTAAGAATTGGAACTCTTTTCTTGAAATACCTTCAGTCGAATTGGTTCTGAAATACTTGTGTGGCCAGCTGTTTTCAAATGCGCGGCAAAAACTGCCCTGTGGAACGACGGAGATCGAGGTGATACGGGTGGTATTTCGTATTCTGCCTTAATGTCCCTTGAGGAAACTATACGGCTTTAACGTACCAAAAGCAACCGTGATCATTTTGTCCTTATCATTCTTGAGTGACATTATATATGAATAAAAGAGACAAAACATACTTGAACGGTAATTTGAACCTACAGGACGCAGAATTCAACAAGCGATCCGCGATCAAGCAAGTAGCATCGGGTCGTTTTGGAGTAACAGCATCGTATTTAGCTCATGCTGACGACCTACAAATCAAAATGGCGCAGGGGGCGAAGCCGGGTGAAGGAGGAGAGTTGCCTGGTGAGTTATTTAATTTACTTGTGTTTTGTGTGAACCTTTTAACTAAATTTAAATTTCGTGTACCCTCTAGCTACCCCATGACTCTTTCAGAAGAACGCGTTTTGGCCAAAACTCACTGATACCCGGATTTAGTTGCTTCACGGTTGCTTTCACAGCTGTTAGTTCTATCATTAAATAACTTGTAATGATTATTAGTTTATCAAAATATCTATAATTAAGTACCTATTGATTTTATACATAAGTCACGTGACACAAAACGGTCACAGATTAGTCCAATCCACGATGTCTGTTTACATTAATGACGATTTTTAATTCATCAAAGACTGTTTTCGATCGAAATATAATGTGTGTTTGTGTAAAAAACTTGACGTTTGTTTTCGTGCTTACAAGCATTGTACGTAAGGTCACGGCACAGTTTCTGGACTTTATATGGCATCGCTATGCCCCTAGCTAGCGGCCAGCGACAGCGGCCACCGTTGGCCGCGGCGTCCAATTGGTGCCAGCACCAGCGACCAATCGTGGCCGTCGAGAACATCACTTCTGTATTAAAATTCATCAGGCTACCGCATCGGCCGCGGCGACCAGACGTGTAGCTAGCTACAGAGTGATTATTTTACAATGGCCAATTTCGACACGGAAAGGTTCATAATTGAAGTTGAAAATAGAAGAGGTTTATGGGATTTAGCATCAAATGATACTCAATAAAGATGTTAGCGGCAGTTGTGGTTGAAGTGGTCGATATATTTGGCGGTGAATCCATGGAAGATAAAGAAAAGGCAGAACTTGTTAGTATTTTATTTTATTATGCCTAAGTAAATTAATAATGGATGAACTACAATAAACGAGAGGTGCTGTAGTAGCATTGACAGTAAGTAATGAGTGATTTTTTTAAAGGTCCGTTCATTCAAAATCTAAGAAATTTTAGCAAATAGGTAATTGTCAAAAGTATAACTATTTTATTCTACTATTTTTCGCTTGCAATGAGTTTTGACAATTATTTGCTAAAATTTCCCAGGTTTTCGTAATGATTGGAATAACTTTTAAAAGATACTAACCGCATGTGCTTCGACGCATTTGTTTACGGCGGCAATGGCGGCTCGCGGCGAGCACCCATATATTTACAAATTGTGCAGGGCAAGCGACCATCGGTACTGAAGTAGTTTGCGAATATATCTCGATATGGTTGATGTTCTATTTGCTCTATTAGGTAAAATGCAGGTATTTCTAATAAAGCCTCTGGTAAGTTAAGTGTTTGAAATCATATCCGTCTCTTTCTCGCACAAAATTATGAAGCACAAAGAGCTTTTATAATCACAACTGCAAATTCTTTCTTGACTTTAGGGGTCGGTGAAGAATCTGCCATTTATTGGCTAATATTCAAATGTAATTCAATATAGCGGCGGCAGGGATAGTCGATAATTAAAATTAGTCTTTACATTATTCAATTCTCCCAGATAGGTCGCATCATATGTTCCGATAGTGAAAACGCCTCATCACCCACTAAAACGAACGGCATTGATTGGCCATTTTCTTTGATGGGGTTATTGTCGGAATATGAGATCATTATTTAAAAGCCTATGAAAAATAAGAGTCTTTGTAAATTGACGAATCACTGCATTTGCCGTAGCTCCAATATCTAAGTAAAGAAATTTATAATTTACATCACATATTGCAAGTAACAGATTGAAAAATAATTCTTGTAATTGTAAAAAGAGATCCCGAATTGGTTTGATAACTCTAATGTGTTGCCGTCGATGGCTCCGATGCAATTAGGAAATGGGGTATTTGAAAACTTCAGCCGTTTGAACCATTATTCTGGTCAATTGTGGCATCAAATTGGTTTTAATATCTCCCATATTGCTTCAAAACATCAAATACTATTTCCGATACTGAGGAAGCCCTATACGGTATTCATGACTTATATGAGATAAAGAACACCCAGTAGCCAAATACCTGAAAATAAAATTCACATTAATAAACATAATATTATTTTGTAATATGTACTACATTTATTTATTGATTTACAGGCATTACTCTCAAAAAAGATGGAAAAACCTTAGAGACTTTTCACAAGAGAGCTGCGCCGTCTTAAAGATGTCAAAAGTGTTCTGCTGCAAAACGTAAATCACAATACACCTATTTCAACCAATATGTTTTTGAAATCAGTGCTGGACACAAACGCAACAGAAAATAGTCTCGAAGAGGCAAGTCAAGAAAATGAAAGTGCAAGATCTTCTGATCTTGAGACTCAACAGTCTGCATCAAAGTCGCTTAGAACAAAAAGGAAGAAAAAATACCAAACGAAGAATCCGATACAGACCCTCTAATTTCAGTTCTGCATAAGACCATAGCGACTACAAGAATGATTCAAATTGTGACAGACTTTTCTTTTATCCCTCCTCGAAAGATTTCAAACAATCCCTGTGCATGAAGACCAAAGCGAAAATGGAAATCATGGAAATTATAGAAAAATACCAACCGAACTGTACACCTACAAATCGACCGAGTTATTCAGTTATTCTACTACCAACAGATATCAGATGATTCAAATTACAGCGATACTCATACTCATTATTCTGATATTTTCAAATTCAGAAATGATAGACCTATTTCCCAATTTGAATGATAATTGTTACAATTGCCATTTTTTAAGTTATGAAAATACAAATAATTTGATTATCTACTTCAGTTTTTTAATATTTAAAAACATGTTATAAGCAAGCCCTTTTCCTCTCCTTTTCAAAGTCGTAAGTAGAATACTACTGAACAATAGTTCATAAATTTTTTAAAGTGGCAAAACCTTGGTCAATGAATTATACAGTTGTTGTGAAAACGCAAAGTGGTGGTTTAGGGTGATTCAGAATCAAGTCTTGTATAATTCAAATTTACAAAAAAATCCGTTTAGAGTTTAAGTAAAAAAAAGGCCCTATCACATTATTTTTATTTTTCCTGTACACAATACTCCATTCGAAACATCCTTTAAAATATATCAGTATTTTTAAACATTCTGTATTTAAAAAGAAAAAGCTTACCTTATTGTTATTACTAATTTTTCTTCTGCTGGAATGCATTTCCGATAGTTTTACCAGTCAGTAATTTTGGTTTTATTGTATCCAGTAAAGGTTAAAAGTATTCGTGAATCTCATGTAATTAAAGAATCTCTTCTCATACATTTTTAAATCCAAAAATAAGTATAATATAATCCTTTATTTTCTCTCGCAAAGTAATGGATGCACCCAAAACTGTCTTTTACGTGAAATCTTCCTTTTCTTTTCGTAGTAAATACACAAGAAGTTAGGTGATTTTTGAGTCATCTTGACACATCCTTGGAAGTCGACTGCAAATTTTTCGGCCGTCCACATGTCGCGTTGCTAGCACCGGCGACCATGGCCGGGCGGTGGCCGGTATTCGCCAGTGGTAGGCAGCCTAGCCAATACTCAACAGAATCAAACATATAAATTTGTATAGCTTCTATTGTCACTAATAAATAATCTGAAATGGTTATTAAAAACTTATCAAATTGCTTATTTTCCATATTTAAAATAAATATTTTTTCTTCTCAGGTTACAAAGTAACGGAAGACATAGCGCGTACGCGATGTTCCGTGGCTGGCGTAGGGCTGATATCACCTCCTCCACACCACGATATCTATTCCATTGAGGACTTGGCTGAGCTGATCTACGATCTGAAATGTGCCAACCCTAGAGCCAGGATATCTGTCAAACTCGTATCCGAGGTGGGCGTTGGTGTGGTCGCTTCTGGAGTCGCCAAGGTAAGAAAGCATATACAACGTTATCTTATATATAAAATTCTCATGTCACAATATTAGTTACCATACTCCTCTGAAACGGCTTGACCGATTTTTATCAAATTTTATATGCATATTCAGTAGGTCTGAGAATCGGCTACTATCTATCTTTCAACCCCCTAAATGATAAGGGTTTTCCACCCCATTTTTTTTATTCTATAAAAATTTTTTTATTTATTATGATACAGCATACAAAAATAGATACAACCCCTAATTGTCACTCCTCTACGATCAACCCTTATTTTTTATTATTGTAGATATTTATTTTTATTGAACTAAAATAATATTTCCTAGAAATAATATACATGGCAAAACAAATGTTTGCCGAGTCAGCTAGTATTTTGTAAAGTGTATACATAAGTATAAGTTTTTTTATTAACTAATCATATCATAACCCATATGAAATATATTTATTGGCATATTAAATTAAATATAAAATATGTTCAAATAAACATCTCGGTGAAGGTCGTTTCATATCGGGATCTTCGACTATACTTGCATATTAAAAAAATTATTACGAAATAGATTCAGAAATCTTAGGCCAAGAACTTGTTGTGCCAGTTTTTTTTGTTCTCTTACTCGTTTTACCCTTTTTTTTATTAAAACTTAGATTTTCATTAACGTGCGAAACATATAAAATACCTATTCATTGTTTTGTCTTTATCACACTCGTGTAAAATTGCAATAAACTAATTGAATTTTTAAGACTATTTTTAAGTTATATTTGCTAAATAAATAACTAATTATTCATCAAATTCATAATTTTTCAAAATTATTTACTTATAAACTATTTATATATTTAGGGTAAAGCCGAGCATATAGTAATCTCCGGCCACGACGGTGGAACGGGAGCAAGTTCCTGGACTGGAATTAAAAGTGCTGGTTTACCTTGGGAGCTTGGAATCGCGGAGACCCATCAGGTGCTGGTCCTCAATGATCTTCGGTCCAGGTGAGGTTCTAAGAAAACTAACCAATATTTTCCAGGTACAGGACTTTATTATGATTTTCCAAATGTAATCAATGTATGTGTTCCACATTTAGACAATTATTTTAACTTCAACCAAACCAAACCTTACGAGAACTTATCTAATTTTTTATCAACCATATGTTTTGGAGCAGTGTTGGCCTAGTGGCTTCAGCGTGCGACTCTCATAGCTGAGGTCGTAGGTTCGATCCCTGGCTGTGCACCAATGGAATTTATTTCTATGTGCGCATTTAACTTGCGCTTGCACTTGCGCTTGCTCGAACGGTGAAGGAAAACATCGTGAAGAAACCGACATGTCTTAGACCCAAAAAGTCGACGGCGTGTGTCAGGCACTGGAAGCTGATCACCTACTTGCCTATTGGATTTAAGAAGTTGATAATAATGCAGATTCAGAAATCTGAGGCCAAGACCTAAAAAAGGTTATAGCGCCGTTAAATTCTCACAGAATAACATGACGAACGCACAATCGTTCCGTCTTTTGTTTAAGATCTGATTCATAGACAACCGCGCGCTAGTATCTGACCTAATCTTTGTTTTTATATGGGTTTTTTTTTAGAGTTGTCGTACAAGCCGATGGCCAGATCCGTACTGGATTTGACGTGATGGTGGCAGCTCTCCTCGGTGCTGATGAGTTTGGCTTCAGTACAGCACCTCTTATTGCGCTTGGTATGAAGATTTTAGTGATTGCACGATTAAACAGATTTAAATTTCCTTGCCTTGCCTTAGTACTTTGAGACTCTGTTTCATCATAGGACAATTTTAAGTGTTTAATACTTTTGAAATATACGTAATCAATTTCAATTGGGATCATAGACTACTCCCACAAATGTTGTTGTTGTAATGTTTAAAAAAAAGGGTGCGTGTACTTATGTACGCGCGTAAGAAGTTATACTTCTTTGGCATTATTAAAAATAGTTTTTGATTGCATGCAAATAATTCATTTCAATTAAATAATCAAAGACTGGAAAAGGAGTCATTATAGTAAATAAAGTTCAGTTTACATTTGAAAAATTAAGTAAATAAATATTTATTAATATTATATTTATTATTATTTTCTAATATTAATTAGTATTGATTTAAATATTCAATTTAAATCACTTCTGATTATAATTCAGACGCACATATAAAATTCACACTTGTATAATGAAAACACGTGTTTTAAATGAAGAAACAAAGCATGTGGATAAATATTATAATTTTTTTTTTTTATAAAGACAAATAACACCAATTGAACTAGTCCCATGCTAAGCTAGTGAAGCTTGTGTTATGGGTACTAGGCAACGGATATACATACATATTATAGATATAGACATATAAATACATATTTAAACACCCAAGACCTAAGCACAACACCAAATGCTCATCACATCGATGTTCGTCTCAGCCGGGGATCGAACCCGGGACCCATGGATTCGCAGTCAGGGGTACTAACCACTAGACCAATGAGTCATCATCATAAATACACAGTGAACAGAGGCGGCGTGCGTGCCAACATGCGCCACTAACTTCATTCTGTTAATTTTGTGTCATTCTCATCAATTTTTCATAATGCGCCTAAAGAAGTATAACTTCAAAAATGCCTTTTCATTTGTAACAGAACTTATGGCTAGACTAAGTATTTTAGAAATGTGAATAATATTTTCAGGGTGTACGATGATGCGTAAATGCCACTTGAACACGTGTCCCGTCGGAATCGCCACTCAGGATCCGGTGCTGAGGAAGAAGTTCGCTGGCAAACCGGAGCATGTCATCAACTATCTATTTATGTTGGCTGAAGAGGTGAATATTGTTTTGGCTTTTTCAATGTTATCAAATGTATGTACGTAATGTCGTACGTACAAGTACGTAAGTAAAATTTTGTTTAAAGTTTTTTTGGCACGATATTTGATATTTTAAATTTTTACTAATAAAAATTTATTTCCGCCAATAAGATTACTCATTAATAAAAAAATTATATAGATTTAAAAAATTTACGCATTGCGTACGTGCTCATGATGTTATACTAATACAGTATATTTGAAATTGATACTTTTAAACATATATTGGTTAAAGAAAAATGAAAATATACAAGGCACAATCTGACAATTTTTGTGATATATCTTAACCGACTTCAAAAAATGTTAACAGTTTGATATGTGATTTTGAGATTGGACAATATTAGCTTAATCGATTTCGGCTTTCAAACTTCACGGATAGTAATTATTAATATCTCAAGTTACAATCTCTTCTTGGGAGATGTCAAATGTCTTCATATAAAAAATGGTTTTAACAGCTCTTGCGACTAGATTTAAATTTGAAGGACGTTCTAAAATTTGGTCCTAAAAAAATATCCAGATGATCCTATTAAAGGTAGTTTCCAAGTTAGTGAACAAGTTCATTTCATCAAAATTTGTTTCGTATTTAACTAGATAGGTATGTATTTTTAATTACATTTGAAGTCGATTGATTTTTCTATATACTGTCTAAAATTTCCAGGTACGTGAACACATGGCGGCCGTCGGAGTACGTCGCTTCCAGGAGCTGATCGGTCGAACGGACTTGCTCAAAGTGCGTGAGAATAACGACAACCACAAAGCCAGAGCTCTGAATCTGAGTCTGATACTGAAGAATGCCTTACACATGCGACCAGGGGTCAACATCATCGGAGGTTCTAAGTCTCAGGTATTTTTGAAACTCCTTGAAACTTGAAGCCTGCACATCCAGTTTTGTTCATTTAAAATTATATAATTTAAAAAAAAAGTTTTTTTTAATTGTCTCGGCACATGGATATCAAACATTGCGATCTAACCTAACTTAAAAGTAATAAGTAATTTAAAACTAACCAATTTTACTAAAAAGGATATTTAAAGGTGCGTACAGACTATATAACATAACATGTTATACAACATGTTTTAGATAATGTGGACACTGAATGTTATAAAACATGTTATAATAACATGTTATTGATATGTATGCTAGGACGAACCCAGCATCTACGTTTTTTTGTTTTTCTTTTGTTATTTAAAATGGTTATATAACATTGTTATTCTAATGTGTACAGTATTGTTTTATGTTATAATGTTGAATAACAAGGTTACATAATGTGGACGTGTTATAAAACACAAGTTATATAATATGTTACATAGTATGTACGCACCCTTACATAAGAAAGTGTCGAATAACACTTCTCACAGTATCTATTAACTCTGTTCTTGTATTCTATTTTTTCACTTACCACTGTTTAGCACTTAAGACTAACGTGCACGAGCATAAATTCACTAAAACGAATGGTTTTGGCCTTTTCAATTTTCTCACTAGGCCCGTAGTGTAAAGAAGTGGAAGAATTTTGATTAATTATAATATTAATCTCTTTCTATTGTGATATTTACGTATGTGCTGTATTAGATTGTTTATATATACATTATTATTCTATTACCGTTTTAATATACGATTTTTTATATTAAATATACTAATTCGAAACAACGTCCCGGTATACGTAATATATATTGATGATTCCAGGACTTCCAGTTGGAAAAGCGTCTGGATAACCAGGTGATCCAACAATGCGCTGGTATTTTGGAAGGTACTGAGAAGAATGTCGATGTCAGTTTAAGGATCACCAACGAAGATCGGGCATTTACGTCCACTCTTTCGTACCATATTGCGATGTAAGATCTTTTTTATTATAAGTAGTAGCATAGTAGTAGTAGCATGATAAAAGAAATCCAATGTGTTCTTGAAATAGTTATGGATTTATTCTAAACTTAATTTTTGACGTGACAACGTCTAATAAATCGATGAACGCCGGCTGCCCTAATGTCCCATCACGCCTAGTGTCCCGTTACGGTCATTGTCCAGTTACGCTCATTGTACGCTTGCGCCGCATCGATTGGTCTATTAGGTATTTCATCAATGTTTTGTTATGACGTTGTCTCGTTAAACTATCGTCCGTAAACCTAGAAACTAATAATTAACCTAAAACACAATCCGTGAAGACATGTCAAGTAATGAATGTTTAATCAATTACCTGAAATAATTATAGAAACAACATTTAAAGATTGATACGAAACTTCCTCTTTTAAAAATTTTAATGACAAGCCAAAACTCGCAACTTTTTCCACAGACTAACAAACTCTCAATATTACAACGAAAAAAACGTCAGTTTTGACACATGACAGGACTAACAATCTAAAAGAAATGTAATTATTTCTTTACATATGTATCTCGATTACTAAAAGAATCTTTTCTCGGTATGAATTGGTAGAATTTCTGGGGAAAACTAAGAAATTCTTTAAATTTTTATATTTATGTATATGTTATATAAGAAATGTTGATTTAAACCTGCACAGCAACTCATGGCAAAAGGCTTTTTCACGCCCCCATATTTTTTTATAAATATATTTGTAGTCTATGGATTCGATGTAGGAATATCTCCAAGAACTTATGGTTATGGTTGCGCATTGGTAAGCCAAGGAATGGCAGCCATTTTTACTTCTAATATTAATTTTAAAATTATAATGACTCAATACTGAAATAATGAACAGGAAATACGGTGACAACAGTCTACCTGAGGGTTCTTCAATAAACATATCGCTGACCGGTTCAGCTGGTCAGAGTTTCTGCGCTTTCCTTTGCAAAGGCGTGACGGTCACTTTGGAAGGAGATTCTAACGACTATGTCGGTGAGTTCATTTGTCCAATTATCTGAGATCAAATATTAATAAGAGAGGGAGAGTGACTTAGAGAGAGCGTATCTGCATCTATTTATTTATGCCTCGTTTTCTTAAAATTAAAAAAAATAGGTTACATAAGTTATTAGGCAACGAGTAAAACCATAGTATTTACACCACAATATTTTTTATAAAAAAAAATATTTATTAAAAAAAGTTACACCACATTACAAAATAGTTTAAAACATAAAAATAAAATAAAATATGTTTATTATGGAACATAAGATACATGTATCACTTATTCCACGTCATTAAATTTGAAGGCATCCCTACTCATCGGCAAAGAAGACAGAGGGTGTAGGCCGAGAGAAAAAGCCGGCGTAAAAAACTCTCGGTACTCTTTTAAAACAGCAAATCATCAAACAACACTTATTTAAAACAAATATCGCAAATTGATTAGAAGTAGCCTGTCTAGCACTAGTCCCAGGCCCTTTTATCAACTAGATAATGGTTGACTTTATAGTAAGCCTTTTTACACAGCTTTTCTTTAATACATTTCTTAAATTTATTGAAAGGCAGTGATAAAAGAGCCTCTGGGATTTTATTAAAGAAGAGTATCCCTTTCCCCAAAAAAAGAATTACTAACTTTAGATAGTCTAGTACGGGGAAATTGCAGCCTGCGTTTGTTCCGTGTATTAACATTGTGCGTATGTTCTATTCTAGTAAACTTATCACTATTTTTGTATACATACATAATATTTTCATAAATATATTGCGAGGGAAAGGTAAGTATATTAATTTCCTTGAATTTATCTCTAAGAGATTCCCTACATTTTAAATTATAGATTGCACGAATAGCCCTCTTCTGCAGGATGAAAATAGTTTCGACATCAGCAGCATGACCCCATAATAATAAGCCATAAGTCATTAAGCTATGAAAGTAACTAAAATAAACAAGTCTAGCTGTATCGACATCAGTTAGTGAGCGAATTTTTTTAACCGCGTAGGCTGCAGAACTAAGTCTCTTCGCCAATCCGTTAATGTGAGGGGACCACTGAAGTTTTGAATCCATGGTGATTCCGAGAAATACAGTTGTATCATCCAGATTCAATTCCTCACCGTTTATAATTGGTCTAGTATCCATAACCCTTGCATTTTTTGCACAAAATTTAATGCATTTTGTCTTTTTTGCATTAAGTAGAAGGTTATTCATACTAAACCAACAATCGAAGACAGAGCATTGTTCACATCGTCAAAATTTGTTATTTGTCGTTTGATTTTAAAAATCAAGGACGTGTCATCAGCAAACAAAACTATCTGATGTTTTCTCTCTACCATGAAAGGTAGATCATTTATATAAACAAGAAAGAGGAAAGGGCCAAGAATTGAGCCCTGTGGTACCCCCATATCTACTGCCGACCCAGAGGACCTCTTACCATTCACTTCAACCTTCTGAGTTCTTCCGTGTAAATAGGAAGTCAGAAGATTCAGTGCGGTATTCTTGATGCCATAGTGGCGGAGTTTCCCGATTAAGGTCTCGTGTTGGACACAATCAAATGCTTTGGATAAGTCGCAGAAAACACCTAAAGCGTCATGTGACTCCTCCCAAGCCTTAACTATATATCTATATAACTCAACACCGGCATCGGCTGTCGAGCGACCCTTGGTAAAACCGAACTGATTATTATGTAATAATTTGTTTACGTTAAAATGACTTACCAGTTGATTTAATATAATTTTTTCAAATATTTTACGGTTAACACGGTCATATGTGTTATGGTTAACACAAGCCGATGGCTGGCCATGCCTCATACTCGTTAACGGGTGCTAGTTGTGGTGACTGGTCGGACTTGAATTCGTGTATGCGGTGATGTTAGTTATTTCGACTATGAATTTGCGTGTTGTTCCGACAAGAATGTAAGTGCGTGCTCCTATTTCACCATGACTTCTGCTGATAGAAGACAAATCTTTGTTTTTAATTTATTTTATAATTTATTACTTAAGATGTCATGTGGAACATGGTGTAATGGTTGCAGCTGCTTACAAACGTTGTGTAAAACAAAAACTTGGCGATTAAAAAGAGTGACGGAGAGTTCATTGCCAGTTCATCTTTTGCGTTCTACGTCCTTGATTTGAGAACTGGCAGTAAATGTAAAATTAGAAGCATTTAATGTATATTTCTTTTTTTTTGACGTTCATAAGTGTACATTGTGTTACCTACATGAATAAATGATTTTTGTTTGTTTGTTTGTTCAATATTGATAAAACTTTTTTTTTAAATTGTGACCTGAGCATTTAAAATATAATTAAAGAGATTAATATAGTAGCAATGTACTTTATAAGGCGAACTTTTTTTTTCTTTTGTATTTATATTTATTATAAAGAATTTAATGTCTTGTCACAATTTGTTAAAAAATAAAAGGTCCGTTAACATAAACTGTAATTTCCAGGCAAAGGATTATGCGGGGGCAAAGTTATAATCTACCCACCCAAGTGCTCCCCATTCGAGTCTCACGTGAACGTGATCGTTGGAAATGTGTGTTTGTACGGCGCCACCTCGGGACGGGCTTATTTCAGGTAAACAATTTCATATTTGCTATGACTGCAGCTATTAATTTATTACTAACAACTAATGTTGTTTGTAATAAATATTTTTAATTTAAAAATATGGTTTTGTTAATAATTTTTGCATTACTTGTACTCTACCCTCTGTTGGTGTTTCTTTTTCATTGTTCTACTTTAGGGTTGCCTGGAAGGCCGCCCCTTGCCTTATAACTTTTGTAACCCCCTTTTTTTTTGTGTATGTTTTTCATTAAGGTAATAAAGTATAAATAAATATGAATATGTTGATATGTTGTTGTGCTCCCCTGTTATGTAGCCATATATAATGTAATCTGTTGCCTAGCGACCATTGAATGTATAATTGTAACCATAATTTCCGCACTTAGACGCTCACGCCAGCCTAGCTCTTTCCAGAAGTTCAGTTCATTTATTCAATTAGGTAACACAATGTACATTGTACACTTATGAACGTCAAAATAAATACATAATAAATGCTAAATGCTTGTAATTATACATTTACTGCCAGTTCTCAAAGTCGCGGAACGGATGAGAAGAACTGGCTATAAACTCTCCGCCACTCTTTAATCGCCAAGTTTTATGTTTTACGCAATGTTTGTAAGGAGCTGCCCTGCGATTCTGTAACTCACTTTTCGAACTCACACAGCGGTTTTCGCATCGGCGATCGCTCTCAAATCAGTCGTGAAGCAGTCATTTTATGATTTGGCATTCTGATAAGGATGTAGCTTGTAGTTTATTGTTTATCACAATGCCAAATCATAAAATTACTGCTTCACGACTGATTTGAGAGCGACCGCCGATGCGAAAACCGCTGTGTGAGTTCGAAAAGTGAGTTACAGAATCGCAGGGCTGCAAGGGCACCATGTTCCACATGACATCTTAAGTAATTTATAGTTAATTAATAATAAATAAAAAACTCAAAACAAAGATTTGTCCTCTATCAGCAGGAGGCATGGTGAAATAGGAGCACGTACATTCTCGTGGGAATAGTCAGTCATTAATTGTCTTATATTTCTGTTTGTTTTACTCGTGTAACACTTTATTAAAAAATCTTATCTGTAAATTATAACTTGTATTTCTTTTTATACTACATGTAGTATTTGTGATACCTTTATAGTAAACTTAATAATAAAAAGGTTAAAATATCAATTACGAAAAAATATATTTAAGATGATAAATCTGATTTGACAGAGAAAACATAAAGCTCACAACAATTTAACTATCAAGGAAAAGAAGTTAATCAAGAAATAAAAATGATTTAAAATTAATAAAAAAAAATCTATGTGATTTATTCTTTATTACCTTATTCAAAAACATACACATAACAAAAATAAAAAATCAGGTTACAAAAGTTATAAGGCAAGGGGCGGCCTTATCGCTAACAAACGATTTCTTCCAGGCAACCCTAATCTGGAACAATGAAAAAGAAACTCCTACAGAGGGTAGAGTACAAGAAATGCAAAAATAATTAACAAAAAAAAACTCAAAATAACACGTTATAACTAAAATAAATTAAAGTAAAATCTAAATAAAAAATAAGAATAATAATAAATATGTATAAACAAAAATTTAAAAGCTAATCAAAAGATTCTTCTACACTTATAAAAAAATGTTTCAGGGGTATTGCATCGGAACGTTTCTGCGTACGTAATTCAGGATGCGTGGCCGTCGTGGAGGGCGTGGGAGACCACGGCTGCGAATACATGACGGGTGGAACCGTGCTGGTGCTGGGACTCACTGGTCGGAACTTCGCTGCTGGAATGAGCGGTACGTAGGAACTAACCGATATTGCTTTTTAAAAAGTCTAAAAATAATTTAAATAACCAACTGTATAGATTAAAAAGATTGTGTGGTTTTATGAAACCACGGTAAAAGTGAAATATTTTGTCACATTAAAGACATTACACTAAAAATTTTTGGAATAATATTCCATTTAGGGTATAAAAATCGCTTTATCAATCTTAATTTTATACTTGGATAATTGGAAGTATATTGGGAAATAATAAAAGCAGACTAAGTCTCCAACTAATATTTTTATTGAACTCTGTGTCTTAGAGAGTACGACATACATAATACTTAACGATTATTTAGATTATTCATTATATACACATATTAAATAATAGTCTATACACTACACGGTCAGCTGCAGCGAACTATAGGCGCCGCCATATTGGCCTCGGCTGCTATGACGAGCGCCTTTCACTTTATCCCTACTCCGCGGCCGACCGTCACGCGACATGCAGACGAAAAAGTTTGAGACGATGTAATAAGAGTTTCACTTTAACAACGTTTTTTGTCCCTTGAGTGAATTGACAAAAGTCTATCTTGAAGGGGGGGGGGGGGGGGGGGGGGGGTGTCAGTTCCTATATTGTAAGAAATAGTTAGTCTTTTTGTAAATATTTAAATATATTGTGTTGTGTTGTTTTTTTTATGTTATGTGATAAAAATGTTAATAATTGTCGCATGGAAGTAATCTGTAAGTATAGCTTATTTTGTTAAAAATAAATAAAAAAAATCTCTGATAAGTACTTTTTAGTCATAAGTCTTCGCCAAAAGTGCTTTTACGAAGTAGGAACATGATTATTGGTGTTTTAAATATTTCCGTTAGAATTGTTTTCATTAGAATTTGATGATTTGTTCGCATTACTTTGCGGCCAAATCTTAATAAATTAATACGTGGAAATGTTTTCCTGTGTTTTTGGTTGCGGGTATACAAACATACCATAAAAGGTTCAAATGGTACTCAGTGTTATCACAGGAACCAAATGCTATTTAAATATTGCGCTAAATCTCCTGTATAATGAGTACACCCCACATACACACCCTCACTTTCACACTTTCTCACTACACGGCCGAATTAGGTTTTAATTTCATATTTTTTTCTTTTCGGAAAGGTTTGAAGCTTTTTGAAGTTATACTTCTGTAAGCGCATTATGAAAAATTGTTGAGAGTGAAATTTTACGATGCGCGCGCACCGTGACACAAAATTAACAGAATGAAGTTGCCCACGGAAAATGGCATTGGACATAATTTAAAAACAACATTCGAATAATAATAGAATTTATGTTACACTTAATGTAAGAGAATAATAATAAATATTTATTTATTTAATTTTTCAAATGTAAACTGAACTTTATTGACTATAATGACTCCTTTTCCAGTCTTTGATTATTTAATTGTAATTAATTATTTGCATGCAATCAAAAACTATTTTTAATAATGCCAAAGAAGTATAACTTCTTACGCGCGTACATAAGTACACGCACCCATTTTTTATATATATTAAGTATTCCATCTTTGGATATATTAGGCGTTAATTATAATTGTTATTTGTTGTATATAATTTATGTTAGCTGGAGGATTACGCAATAAATAAGTTTTAAATTAACGCCGAACAAGCCGAATTTTGACAAATTTCATGTTCTATTGCAGGTGGTATCGCGTATGTCTACGACATCGACGGCTCCTTCAAAGGCAAATGCAATCCAGAAATGGTGGAATTGCTGCCCTTGGAGAAACAGGATGACCTAGACGTAGTAAGGACATTGCTGGAAGAATTTGTGGAGTATACTGGGTGAGTGAGTTTTGAGAGTGATTTTGTAACTGAAAATGCAAACGCAAAATGCAAGAGTGTACGGCAAATACTGGCCAGTACGCTACAGACATTTTTTTGGAGGTAGAATTGTACTGTTTTTTATATAATCTATCTTAATTGTTATTTTTATAGAAAAACAAATAAATATGAGTAATTTAGGAAAATTAAACGGACTTTATTTGATATTTTATATAAAGTCATGAAAAATGGTAATCTCAAAATCTACTGAAGCTATTTTAAGAACTGAACTGATAAGTTAAACACGATTAAATCATGAAATAAGATGTAATTACGAATTTTCATGTAAATAGATACATTTTAATAAAACACTATTTTGACCGGATTGAAGTTATGTACCGTATGTATGTCACCGTGACCACGCACGCTGTAAAGCACGCGAAACGTCGGATAAATTTAAAATTATGTTAAATAGTTGTAAATTTATAATAATACATAACTTCAATCCGGTCAAAATAGTGTTTTATTAAATGAATAAAAGTTATGTTAATCAAAGACAATACTAGATACATTTTGCTATTCTTTTTTAGTTTCTACTGTTTGGCTGTGTATAAAATACGTGACGTCATAGTTTGTTTTGTTTTTAGCAGGCATGTTATTTTAGAACTTTTAAATAAATAAATAAAAACATGTGAGCCCATGTGGAAGGTTACGTAACATAAAAATATATTTATATTATTAGTTAACTGAAGCGGATTTAATTTAAAAACAAAAGAATACACATGAAATTGAATTTACAAAAAACAACAATCAAAAGATGTAGGTACTTTACACTTAAAATTTAAATTGACTGAGGGTAGGTTAGTAACACGTCCGTTCCGCACGAAGTCTCGAAATAAAAGTGAGTCAATGCCGGTTTTGCTTCGCGTTATATAGGTTTCTGCTCCAAGATTGCGTTAGTCCGCTAACAATATGTTAATAGACAAAAAACAATACTTTTCTCGACTTTTCACTGGATAGCGCACACACTATTATAATATAATCAAAATATTACGCCGATTTATATAAAAATACCTTATTCTACGCGCTAAAACTAATTTAACATTTCCAGATCGATAATAGCTAAAGAATTCCTAGAAACTTGGCCGGAACCAGCGAACAAGTTTGTGAAAGTTTTCCCCTACGAATACCAGAGGGCGCTCAAACAAATCGCTCTAAAGCAGCCTTCGCCGCCCAAGGTCGAGGCGAATGGGAAGATGGAGGAAAACGGTCTCGTGGATATTGAAGAGGCTGTAAGAGATATTGAGAAAGACAAGAAGAATTTGGAGAAGATAATCGATAAGACCAGGTAAGTCTCGTTTACGGACCCACTCTTATTATTAAACCTACTGAACAATTATAAAACTGTTATTTTATTTATGTACCAAAAATTGCCTTTATAAGAGACCCTGAATCATCAACAATATCTGAAATATACAAGTCAAAACCAGGAGGGGGTCAAAAGAGTACGCTTTTTATTATATGGAAGAAAAGGAAAAGCTAATAAGCTGCCCAGACAACAAAAAAAATACAAATGTATGCGGACCATTCGACTTCTTCAATACAAAGAGTTGTGCTGCGATATTGCGAGCTACTCTATTGTGAGAAAGTTAACACTTCTTAAGTTCTCGTGTTATTTTCACACATGTATATGCTTTGTATAACATATTGTCATAAGTGTTGATTATCCTCCTAACATGTGTCATGTTTGAGAGCAAAAATGAATAAAAACTGTACTGAAAAAGATATCTAATATATAAAATTCTCGTGTCGCGGTGTTTGTAGTTAAACTCCTCAGAAACGGCTTGACCGATTCTCATGAAATTTTGTGTGCATATTGGGTATGTCTGAGAATCGGACAACATCTATTTTTCATCTCCATAAAAATCATGTTAAGGGTAGTCCACCCCTAAATTTAAATAATTTTTTTTATTTTTATTTTTTATGATACAACATTAAAAAATACATACAACCCCTAATTTTCACCCCTCTACGATCAACCCCTATTTTTATTATAAATGATATACATGGCAAAACGACGTTTGCCGGATCAGCTAGTAATATTATAAGAGGCGTATGAATTGCTATTATTTCCAGGATTATATATTACGAATGGTATCTGATCTGTTCGTTGACTATGATTATTGAAGTACATTATATAACGTAGACTATATATATATATAAAAACTTTTTTTAGGTTCACGTAAAAACCTTAATAATTAATTTCAGAGGATTCATAAAATACCCTCGCGAGACTTCGATGTACCGTCCTGCAGAAAAGCGTTTACGCGATTGGGATGAGATATACAACTTTTCTCACGTCCGTCGCGGTCTTCGGGTACAAGCTGCCCGTTGTATGGAGTGCGGGGTACCCTTCTGTCAGAGTCAGCATGGATGCCCCCTGGGGAACATTATACCCAAGTGGAATGATTTGATATATAGAGCGGATTGGAAGCAGGCGCTGGCGCATTTGCTACAGACTAATAATTTCCCAGGTAAGTAATTTTTTTAATTTTTTTATTTAATATTATATTATGAATTCGCTGTTTAGCCATTAATTTCTAGTGAACTTTGGCAATCTAACAACTCATCATTCAAAATCATTTAAATGATTTCAACCTTGGGATTGATTTGGTCCACTTCAACCAATTTGTTTTATGACTCAAAAATTGGCGATTCAAAAGAGTGGCGGAGAGTTCCTTGCCAGTTCTTCTCGCCCGCTCTACCCCCTTGACTTGCGAACTGGCAAATGTATGTAGAATCAATTTAACATGTTTTCTGTTGACGTTCATATGTGTACTTGGTTACCTATATGAAGAAAGTTATTTTGAGTTTGTGTTATAATTTTTTTCTTAATAGACAGGTAGGTTTCAGACAGGTTTTCCTTCTTAGCTTGACCCTTTTTTTTATGGCTCTGGCACGGTTTGTGCATTAGCCAGCGTCAAGTATAAGATTTTTTTATAATTCGTGCTTGCCTTAGAAATTCGACCGTGTCCTCCATGAATTAAAACCGTATTAAGCACTCGCCCGGTACCGCACAACCCTCTCAAGAGCCGAGAACAAATTTAAATTAAATTAAAAGTTTCTCTCGAACTGGGAATCGAACCCGGTACCCCTCACCTAGCTGCCTTGACCCTTTTAGGATTAAGATATCCCGGTCTGCCGGTCTACCTTCAGCCTATAGGGAGTGTAGAAAGTAAAAAATATTGGTGCACAGCGTGATTCTAACCAACCTCGGTTTTGAAAGTGGCTACGGCTAATTTAATGAGTAAATTACAAAGAACTAAATATATTCGTTTTAGAGTTCACGGGTCGCGTGTGCCCGGCTCCATGCGAGGGCGCTTGTGTCCTGGGTATATCAGAACCACCTGTTACCATCAAGAACATCGAGTGCGCCATCATCGACCACGCTTTTGACAACGGGTGGATACAACCCGAGGTAATTAATAATGTTAAAAATATTTTTATGTGTATAACATAGATAGAAACAGTACTTTTAGATAGCGATAGCGCAGAGATCACGGATCTTCACTTGCTACGGTCCTGAGATACTTCTCTCGCTTCATCCACTTTCATGACGTTCACCATGCCTGCTCGTCGGTTCTAAGTAGTTTTAACTTGTCCCTTCTTTAGTATGTTCTGGGTTTGGTCCAGTTTGTCTGACAAGGCCGACCCAACCCCACTTCACTATCAACTATTGCCTAGTATATATATCCTACATGTAAGCGACTTTAGCCATTTAGAACGGACGAATGAGGTCATCTGTTCTAAATGGCCAAACTCCTTAGAATTTCCTGCATTTTCTTGATATCTAAATTAAAAAAAAACTGTTAACATAAAAGTATCCCTTCAAAAACGCATTAATACCCATATCTCAAAAAGTACTGAACATGACATGCTTGAATTACAGTCAGTTTCCCCCAAGTGGCACCAAGCACCAACAGCCTGATCTGTCCTGGACGGATCTCTTAATTTCTGAACCTGAAATTTTATTTTCTACGGAAGCAATATACCCAATTAAAATGAAAATTCCACACAAGACAGGCCAAATTGATTACTTGCTTTTTTCATCGGTTATAAATGACAAGTGAATAAAACTATAGCCAATTAAGGTTAATGTAATGTTAATATGTTTGATTATTCCAGATTCCAACGAATCGTAATGGCAAGACTGCGGCAGTTGTGGGTTCCGGACCAGCCGGGTTGGCGTGTGCGCATCAACTTAATAAGGTAATTTAAAAATTAACCAAAATAAATATTTGGATAAATTAAACCACGTTATCGCCAAATTAATATATGTAATAGCTTTACCGCGGCAGTCCCCGAGTGCCACACGATTTTTTTTTGTTTGAACGGAATCTCGCTGTTTGCCTTAAGGCCCTTGACAGCAGCGTAGCTCGGCCGGAAACCCTCAGCGCGCCATCTTGTTCAGATCGGCTATTTCATGTTCGTACTTCCCTCCATTAGGTGACCCATTGCAGTTACTAATTTTATTGATAAGATTTTAAAAGCCTTTTAAGATTACTTAATATTATTATTTACAAATTGTTATTATTGTGTTATAAATGTGTTACATATTAATCGTTCACCATTTCAAACACCAGCCAAAACAAAAATAGGTTTTTAAAGTCAAGGTGATTTTATAGCGTGGGCGAATATTTGGCCTATCAGTTTGACAACAAATAATTATAAATAGCTTGACTTATTATTATGACAATGACAAAGGGTATGTTCCGATATACACTGCGAGTACTGTATAGTGCTCCCACTGTTCAAAAATTCGTTCCGCTATGGACGCCAGTATACAGCCGCAGCGTCCTAGGGAAATATATGACGTCACAAATCCCCGCTATACTTCTACTGCGAGCACTGGCGTTTTCGAGGTAAGGTACTCGCAGTGCTTTGATCACGTGATCAATCAAAACCACTTGAATGCCTAACGGCTGATATAACTTACAGTTTAATAACAAACATTTAAAATTCTAACTTACTTTCTTTGTAGTATTAATTCAATTGACAGTTAATATTAATATAGATTTTTTTAATGCGATAATACTCCAATAATAGTTTTTCTTGTTGAATTGAAAAACTTTGATGCACTCATTTGTAAATTGTGTCGAAAAACGAAGCTGACTAGTATACTGGACTGCGTTCCGTTTTAAATTGTAACCAGTATAGCTGGCTATAGAGAAACGGTTTCACAGTATACTAAATTGACGGTACTCTGTACAGTGGTCGCAGTGTATATCGGAACATACCCTTAATGAAAATTAATGTGACATTTGCATGCCTATTTTTGTGTGGCTGATTGTGTGGATTTTTATAATTGATCGATATAAATGTACCACTTTCTTGCAAATATAATAATTTATTATTATTATTAACGCTTCTCTAGATAAGATGGCGTCGCAAATTTTTAAGTGTTAATTATCCTTCTGAAATTACACAAATATAGATATTTCTATCGAAGACCGTCTTAAACCTGGCGGAGACATTATGTATATATAAGCATGTTACGTCTTCGATTCTACTAATCTGTGACCGTTTTTTACAGATTACTCTCCATTGTACAGTATCAGAATTTATATGTTCATAAAGTCAATCAGATATTTAAGGTCATACATACAAAGAAAAAACCAATATGTAAAAAATACCAATTCGGGTAACTCAGTCCCTACTTAAGGAACTTAAGGATCTTAAGTTGTTACGTTACGTACGACAAAATTAAGAAATTCGACTAGTTATTATTCTTAAACTACTCGTTCATATTTAATAAAATCCCTGCATGGTAACTGAAAACTCGGCTTCTAATTTTTGAAATGGAAACTGATTTAGTGTTTATTTTATAGATATTTTTTGCCCCCAGATATAGTATGTATTTATTTTATGGATATTTTTTGCCCCCAGATACAGTGTCTATTTTATGGTTTTTTTTTTGCCTACCTGGCCTAAGCACTCAACACGCCGCTGCCTTATTTAAAATAAATAACTTAATATTTATTCCTTAACAACAATTTGAATAAAAATTTAATTAATATAAAATTAAAAAACAACCAAGTCGATCCTTAGGACTTCACGAGTCCTCCTCCAGACCAATCCATTTTTCTATTCCGCTCCACTTTACTATTCTTTGCCAGGAGTATCCTTGATTCGCCACTTGTGTTTTAATTCCATCAGACCTCTTCAGAGTCCTAACTATCTTTTCTCCAAAGAAACCTTATTTATTGAGTCACTAAATTATTTTAATTGTAAATTTTTCTTGTCTAACTTCCAGGCGGGGTACACTGTAAGCGTATTTGAGCGTAACGACCGTCCAGGTGGGTTACTCCAATATGGTATCCCAAGTATGAAACTCGGCAAAGATGTGGTCGCGAGAAGAATCAAACTGATGGCTGCTGAAGGCATCTCTTTCAAGTGCAATGTGGATGTTGGCAAGGACATATCCGCTGCTGATCTCGCGAACGAGTGAGTTGATTTTTTTTAAAGACGATTCACACCAATTGACCTAGTCCCATGCTAAGCTGGTGAAGCTTGTGTTATGGGTACTAGCCAACGGATATACATACATATTATAGATAGATAGACATATAAATACATGTTTGAACACCTAAGACCTAACAACCACCAAATGCTCATCACACCGATGTTCGTCTCAGCCGGGGATCGAACCCGGGAGCCATGGATTCGCAGTCAGGGGTGCTAACCACTAGACCAATGAGTCGTCAATCCTTACTTCTTTCTTGCTTTAAACCAACTTCGGTAAAAGGTTATAGGATGGAGATAGTGACACAAAATAGTGGTAGTATCAGTATGGCAGTTCTTCAGGAGTCTTATTACGCAATGAAAAGAAACCAGCGCTATGACCATAATTTTTCTTTTTTTTGTGTCACTATCGCCCGGCCTATTATGATTTCGACTGGAATGTGATATTGTTGGAACTAAATTACATATATTGTCCGGTGGAATTTACTTAGAATTTTTTAAAGGTACAACGCGGTAGTCCTATGCATGGGTGCCACTTGGCCCCGGGACCTGCCGCTTAAAGGCCGGCAACTCAATGGTATACACTTTGCTATGGAGTTCCTCGAGGGTTGGCAGAAGAAACAGGCTGGACCCACGCAGCATCACGCCAAAAGCACGCAATACATCTCCGCTAAAGACAAGAATGTGCTGGTTATTGGAGGTGGTGATACTGGGTAAGAAAAAAATATAACTATCTTTTACATATTCAAGAATTTTTGAATTATTTAATATTAGAATTTGACCTTTAGACGAATGAATAAAATTTTATTAATTACTCAAAATTACTTTAGACGAAAATACACTTAGCAAAAAATAATTGAAATTATTTTGAATTAAAATGATTAAACTATTCTGTTAATTGTTTTTGCTGCTCAATTTAACTTCAAAAGCATATTATAGTAACAGCCATATTTTATTTTTGTTGATTTTTTCAAACCTTTGTTGGGCAAACGGCGAACAATTGTAATTTTGACATTTTACACCGTTTTAACTGTTGCCCTATTTTACAAAATATTTGTGCTTAAAATTCTGTAAAATGTGTTTATATGTCTTATTATTTTCATTATCTTACTTTTTACGATTACTATATAGTATTACTAGCGACCCGCCCCGCCTTCGCACGGGTGCAATGCTGATACTAAATTCAAAGTGCTATGGAGTATAGACTATAGGGATTAGGGAGAACCGCGGCCTCCGACGCGCTATTGACAGGCACGCTTCAGCCGCCCCGGCCGGCCGGTACCGCAATTTTTAAATCTGTAATATCTTCGAAAATATTAATTTAAATCATATGCTGTAAAGGGCCATATAGATCTATATTAAATCAACAATGTATTTAAGGTATTTAATTGGATAAGGATTAATGCTGAATTGGTTAAAATCGCTTCGAAAATTAGCCATTATTTGTTTTTTACAAAAAAAATTTATTGTGGGATATCCATAAGAGATTAGACATATACCATCGCGGAGTTTTCTGTAGACCTTTTCAATGTGTACAATACTTTGTACATTATTTTGATAAATATCGTAGGGTTCAGCCTGCGTTTGCAATGTAAGCGGAAAAAATGTAATTATTTACGACATCACATTAGAAACCTTAAAAATAACATTATTTCTCCACTATTTAATGGATGTTATCATATATATATAAACCTTCCTCTTCAATCACTCTATCTATAAAAAAACCGCATCAAAATCTGTTGCGTAGTTTTAAAGATTTAAGCATACATAGGTACAGAGAAAGCGACTTTGTTTTATACTATGTAGTGGTGATACCATATGGAGTAAAGTACTTCTTTAGTACTTTGGAAAAGTTCACATACTAATGTTCAGACGTTATACAAACGTGACTCACAAATATAGTCCTATGCGTACCATAAACAAATTTTCGACTTGTCTGTGGAAAGAATCGTCGTGGGATTTGATGTACTAAAATACCTCTTTTGTTATAACATTATTTATTTATTTTTTTACACCTCGTGACGTATAGAAAAACAAAACAAATAACAACGGGCGGCCTAAATCTAAAATAATAAACTAAAAAGCTAATCTCACGAATTCCTGAATTGCGATACAATACAAAAGAATAAGAAATACAAGAATTACAAAAGTCACGATTGAGCAGGATATGATATGGTTAAGAAATATTTTTGTAAAAGAGTTTTAAAAGATGTTAGGGAGGTAGCCAATCGTATGGAGTCGGGGAGCGTATTCCACAACTTAATAGCGTAACATATTATATTATATGTTCTAAGGACCTGAGAATTTAGATTTATTTTAAAGATAAGAGGGAGTTTTAGGATTTAAAAGAATTGAGTGTAGAAGTTATAGTATTTAGATACTTCTGAAAAAATTTAAATGTCATTTTTCTGAAAATTAAATTATGCTTTACAAATTATTAGTTCGCAAAAGTGTTTTTTGCACAGACTAACAATTTTTAATTAAATATATTATATAAATTAATTGAGCAGTGTTGGCCTAGTGGCTTCAGTGTGCGACTCTCATACCTGAGGTCGTAGGTTCGATCCCCGCCTGTGCACCAGTGGAATTTTTTTCTATGTGCGCATTTAACATTAGCTCGAACGGTGAAGGAAAACATCGTGAGGAAACCGACATGTCTTAGACCCGAAAAGTCGACGGCGTGTGTCAGGCACTGGAGGCTGACCACCTGCCTATTAGGTTTAAAAACGATCATGAAACAGATTAAGAAATCTGAGCCCAAGACTTAAAGAGGTTGTAACTGATTTATATTTTTATATAAATTTATACATTGCTTTATAGCTGCGACTGTATCGCCACATCCCTCCGTCAAGGCGCCAAATCAATCACGACATTTGAGATTCTCCCAGAACCTAAGACGACGCGAGGACAGGATAATCCCTGGCCGCAATGGCCTAGAGTTTTCAGGTAAAGTATAATATTGTCTATGGTTTTCGGAAACATATAGTATACATAATTTCTAACGAACATTACTTGTGTTCGTTCCGTTCAGTTTTTATATACTAAATTTTTTTAGTATTTTACATTTTAAGAAATCATTTTTTTTTAGATTTCAAAAGATTTATTTAGTCGAAAATTTGAAAATTCTGTTACTAATAGTAAAGTAAGCATGCAGTGTTTGCATGTTAAATTTTTTTTTTATATAACAAGGGGCCAACGTGCAAGAGGCTGACCTGATGATAAGTGATACCGCCGCCCATGGACACACATTGCAGAAGGCTAGCAAGTGCGTTGCCGGCCTTTTAAGAATTGGTACGTTTGAAGGACCTTAAATAAATTATTCTGTCAATTTCAATATAGGGTTGACTATGGACACGAAGAGGTCAAAGTTAAGTTCGGAAACGACCCCAGGAAATTCTCCACATTGACGAAGGAGTTCCTTGATGATGGTAAGCGTTTTTATATATTTTCACGTAATTAGACAGTTACGATTTTCTGAAAATTCCTGGATATTTTTCAACACGTAGCTTTTAGCTTTGTTACATATTTAGATTGTTGCGGCTGTATTTAAATTCTGTGCTTAAGCTTAGGTTTCCTAGAAAAGCGGTGCCGTTAACTAATCGGCCATCTTTACTTTTTAACATAATACAAAAAACGTCATTTTCGCTCGTCCAAGTCACGTTTACACTCATTGTATTAATTAAATATGGGAACCGCTACACGCGGAAAACGTTGAACTACTGTTTATCACCGCTAGATCAGTTTATCTCTAGAAAACCTACTCCGATGTAGGCAAGATATGATTGACGTCACCCAACGCTACGTTACGGCCGTTAGATAACGGCACCGCTTTTATAGGAAACCTAAGCTGTAGTCATTTTGTGGTCGGCACAGACCTTAATTTTTTAATACGTTTATTACGTACGTGCTCAAATAAATTCGTTCTTACGCTAAAGAAGAATATCGTGAACAAAGAGGAGGTAGAGAATCGACCGTGTGTCAGACAGAAGGCTGATCACCTACTTGCCTTAAGAAAAACTATGTACAAAAAGGTTTTTAATAATGAGCTCTACTAAGGTTATAATTTAGTTTTTTATCTATGCTTTCTTAAATTTAAAATATTGTTTGGTAGATATCTCTCCCTCCCTCGAAGCAGCTGGCAGCGTACCGACTAAAATGGAAAAAATTGTCCGTGGGCAGCGATGACTGCCCTTTTTGGGCATACAGGTTGCCCCCTTTTCCCCTTAAAAAAAAATAAGGTCCGGATTTGAAAGATTTCTAAAGTGTTATTAAATTTTAGGAGAAGGCAATGTTTGCGGAGTATCTGCCGTTGAGGTGGAATGGACCCGTGGGGCAGGAGGCAGGTGGGATATGAAAGAGGTCCCTGGCACCAACAAGGTGTACAAGGCAGAGCTGGTACTCCTCGCTATGGGCTTCCTTGGGCCGGAGAGATATGTTGCGAACCAACTTGGTATGTCTCTATGACTTCGTGATTTACATTTTTATTTTGAAGTAGATATTATTTCTACATTCATATACGACATTCTGAGAATGAATCTTGTGTATTGCTTAAGTATTAATCAATAAGCATACACTAGGCAAAAATAACTATGGATTAAGTATGTAATAATTTGTATAATCAAGTAATTTTGAGTCATAATAATGTTTTATAAGTTGGTCCTTCGAGCCGGAATTCAAGCTAGAATCTTAGTACTTTTATTAGTAAAAAATAACATATTGCCAAATATTTCAGAAATACCAGTGGATGCCCGTAGCAACGTAGAAACAGCGAAGGACAATATTTACAAAACTCCCGCCAGTAATATATTCGCGGCTGGTGGTAAGTATATTTGTACTAATGTTTTAATCTCAGTTTTAGCCTGAATACGTTGAAAATATCATCGTAGAATTATATTTATTTGTCTCTATATTTTTTATGAGAGAAAACATCTATTTAAAAAAAAAAATTGTGGTTGATTGAGAAAAATTAAATTGTACATGCCTTCAAGATTTGTTTTTTTTTTCTAAAAATGTAATTTAAGGCGAACAAAGTCAGCAGCTGTTTTTCTGTTAAAATGAAATAAAAACTTTTTAGATTGTCGCCGAGGGCAGTCGCTCGTTGTGTGGGCAATTTCCGAGGGCAGACAGGCAGCTCGGGCAGTTGATGTGTTCCTTCAGGGGCAATCTTACCTACCTGGACCTGGCGGAGTTGTTCACGATCACTAATAAACCACTCCGTCATATCTTATGTCGGTTACTTTATAGAAGCTTTTCTTGAAAATAGTAAAATATTAAACATCAAAATTTGTAAAGAAAATTTAAAACATTTTTAATTTTATCTATTTTTTGTGGTCAATAAATGTAAAAGGGTAATCTCTTTACTTAAGATTTGACCTTGCGACTTTTTAGTGATTTTAAATAGATGTTTTATGTGATAATCAAATTTGAGAGCTGCTCGCCATTTTTTTTTGACATTAGGACATATTTTTAATAAAAACATAGTTGAAAAATTTATTAAATTAAATTAATTATGTATGATTGCGATTGTATTAATTATACATTTATATACGAATGATAGCTACGCAGAGAGCTTAAAAAAATTTTTTTTTCTTCCATAATTTATAATTCTTTTTTGTTTGTTACCCAATTACGTTTCAAAAAGAGCTCCTAAATTTGATTACTTATTGGCAAAACTAATTCGACTAGTTTTTCCAAATTGTAATCTCAAATTAGTTGATACATTCCGCTATTAGATTACGAAATTTTTAATTGTGATCTCACCAGTGTATATCAAAAGCTTTTCGAACGAATAATAATCAATAAATTACGAAAACTTCCTTCACCATCAAATTGTTAGAAAAACAGTATTTGTATTAGTCAGCATTAATAAACCTTATTTACTCTAGAAAATATATACAAAAGCTATTTAGATATATAAATAATATGGAATTATGATATACTTGGGTGTCTCAGATTTGGACAAAAATATATTAATTACGAAATTCGATATCGTAGTAAATCCAATCATAAAAAAATTATGATTTTTTAATGATACCGGTGCAATTGTATGTCAAACATTTTTTTATATGAATAGAACATCAAAATTTGGCTAACTATGAAATCGTAATCTGCGATCTACAGTAATGAGATTATAGTACTAGCGAATGGATTTCAATATGTTCATATCCATTCCAAAACCGATTTCTATTGGGCGACCCTTATGACGTCAAACCAAAACCTTCAGTGACGTCACACGGATTTGAAGGGAACGTTTTTAACGGAAAGGGTTTTCTCTTCTCTGACGTAACAGGTTGTAGCCAATATCGGAATTACGTGTTGAATTTGGAAATCCATTTAGAAGTGAAGCCTGCTGAACTAAAACGTGCCATTTTTATTTCCAAACCGCAAATCAGACTTTATAAATTTCATACCTAAATGTTTTGTCCTTGTCTCTCTTGTGGAAATTTGAGAGACAAAACATAAGAGAATTTCGTCATGTTGCGTTTTAGTCCAGAACTTGTTTGGGTAGTATGGTTTAAATATAGGTTATGATGTAGATAAAAGTTTAAGTACAAACTCGTATCAGCAGACGAGAGATGAGATTCGGTTAATTACCTTGTACTAATTTTTCAATAATAAATAATTCGCGTTATTTTGGATAAAAAATGGTCTAGAGCAGTGTTTCCCAACGTAGGGTCATGCCCCACAGGGCGTTAATTTGATTGTTAAGGGGATTTTTAAAAATGTATTATTTTACTAAATAATTATTTGTAGTTTCATTATATCTTTACTAACTGTGTTTCGTTAACTATTCCCAAGTAATTTCTTCCTAAACCCTATCATTAAAGTTTCTAAATTTAATTTCTTAGCAATTCAATTTTAGATATTAAATTATGTATGTTCCATGGGGGTCACAAGAATTTTAGGAAAGCTAAGGCTTTTAAGTTGGTCATGGCACAAAATAGACTGGGAAACACTGGTCTTAAAATTTAGATAACTATGTTAATACAAATGTAATTTTAATATTAGATTTGTTTTCAAATAATTTTGTAGAGACAAGACGAGTTCGAACTAACACCTGTCAGCTGTCAAACCGGACTTTGACAGACGAGTTTAAATTAAAACTCAAGGTATCCCGCTAAACCAGCATCTACATATGTCGCCTTTAATATTTATTTGATAGTTCCTACGACGCAGTCCCTTAAGTAAAAATGTTTTAAACCTAAATCAGTTTCTATTTTAACTTAAGTCTCTTTCTATACAATTATTTTATATTAAATTTTTAATTATAAAAAGATTTGTTTACGATACTTTTTTTAGGTGTTAAGTTTGTAATGCTTAAAAGTATAGATCTTAATTAAAAATAGCACAAAATATATTCCTCCTAAGGGACTGCATATTAACTTGTTCATTAAGTTATACCATAATAATCATGTATTATAAAAGAAATTATTTCTGAAATATTGTTAGATATTATTTCCGTGAAATAGGAAATGTTTCTTGTTATCGTGCCTTTATTTAATTGAATAAATTTTTTGTTTAATTTTTTTTATTACAAATCATATCATTATATTATCAAATAATTTTATTATACTATTCATTTAAATATCCTCATTCCACTAATCTGACGTTCCAATCTAAAGTACAAATTCAAGGCACTAATAAAATATAGTTTTTCATATATGTGCCAAAAATATTTATTCTGGATCTTTTTCATTCATTTGTGGCACTTTACTAGTAAATAGATGAATTAATGTTTCTGGCTTATTAAGTATAATCAAAATAGTCCAACAGATAATATGGTTGACAATAATGAGTGTCGTAGATAATAAATGTAGTGCTGAAATAAATAATTGAATGAAATATTGTTTCATTTCTACCCAAAAGAATCATTAAAAAAAATTACTCTACGCCGAAACAATACACGCCGTTTGGCCGTATCAAAATGTTTAGATGTAGAGGAATAATCTGAAGAATTTGATAGATGACATTGAGGCAAAATATAGAAACATGGTGCAAGAATTTTTTTCATGTTTTCATATGAAGTCAATAAATATTAACAGGTTCACCAGTGGCGTAACTATACCATCTGGGGCCTGTGGCAAATTCTTTTAATGCCCTATCAGTAAAAATCGTCACGTTGTACTCGGTTTAATTTTAATATCTAAACCTCGAGATTTTCAGCGTACTCAATTACTTATTACACGTTGTATATGTTCCACTAATGGCCATAGGCTTCCTCTCTTAGGCGAGAGGGAATGGTCTGTAGCCTGGTCTGTATTCATCCATAGAACATAATATCTCTTTGGCAGGGGCCCTCTTAGGTCGGGGCCCGTTGCATTTTGCCAGCCCTGCCACCCTATTGTTACGCCACTGAGGTTCACATGTTACATAATTAGTGACAATATTATTAGATTGATACAGCGAAATATTTCCTCGCTACAAAAGGATAAATACGCCTTTTTACACTTAATTTATAAAAAAAATAAGTGTAGCGACATCTACATTCAAAGCGATATGTCATACTCTGAAAAGCGTTTTTAGAACACGGGGTAAACTGGCAGGAGACTCAATTGCACACTCAATACCAAAGAGCTCGCGAGTATATTGCCGACCTTTTATGATATGGCACTGTCTTTTCTTGACGGATCCTAAGTCGAAGATAGGTTCATACCGTAAAGAGTCCCGAAGCTACGAGAGTATTTTGTGAAGTTGTGGGCCAGAAAAAAAGCTGAGTTCTGGTAGAAAACACAATATTATAAAAAAAAAGTGCGTGCGTACAAAGTACACACTACACATGTCAGAAGTGAAACTTCTTTGGCAAACCAATTTTTAAGTCTTGTTCATATTTATACAAATCAAAACTTTAGAATTCCGAGACTTAGAGGGAGGGAAAAGGGAAGATTTGTTAGGAATTTAATTATCATTAAAATATTAAACGTGTCGAAAATTAATACAAATTTAATTTTTTTAATTTATTTCTTCGATAATAAAAACACGTGGCATTTTTTACAATTCGTCATTTGAGATTTCAATAAATTATTATTCTGCATAAAATATAAATTACTTATATTTCATAAATTCTTTTTACGAAATTTATTTTAAAAATAGAATTTTTATAAGGTAATTCGCCCTTCTCACTCTCTCTCAATCGGTCTCAATCGCTCTCTCTCCCTTTTCTTCGACAAAAATGCTGCACATCTTCGTGACGCTAATATTATTAGTATTGCGTTTCATCCGTAAAAATTTTGCCCTCATGCACCTAAAGAAGTTTCACTTCACAAACAATCTAACAAGTTATCACTTTAAGATTAAGCTATAGGACTATTACTAAAGCCAAAACAAACAATATAAACTATTAAAATTAGTTCAAATTAAAATGACATATGCGGCTATTACAATATAATAATGTAATTATTTCGAAAAGTCACTTCATGAGATTAGATTTTGCGGTCGAAGTAAATTTTTAAACGTTTGTAGACCCTTAATAACATAGAAAATCACCCTTCTACAAAATACCACTCGCCTCTAATGTTATTTGACACATACACACATTAACATATTTAAACACGATATCTTCATACATAATTATTACGACGTGACACAATATTATGCATGTGTTTCTAATAATTCCCTTCAGTCTTCAACTTGTCCTGTTCCAGAAAGATGTTTTCCTCAAGTAAGTTATATTTACCTTTTGTATGTTTTATACTGACATACGCGTTTATTTATATTTTTTGTTGGGGAACGGGGAATGGGGAAAACAGGCAGTCGGGTTAGAAATAAGTGCTTATCGCTGGCTATGGACAACTTAACGACAGGAGTTTATAAAGAATTTGTCGCCAAGCTTTGAAGGAACGATCGATACCTAGTCTTGCCATAAGTACTGAAAGAAAGAAAAAAAAACTATTGCAAATAACATTTATAACTTTGACAGTGAGAGTTTAATTCACAAATATAAAACAATTCAGAATATAAAAAGCTTATTCGAAGTGGTCGCCATTGGCTGCAACACAATTATTTAAACGTTGAGGCCAGTTATAAACGTTATGGCCAGACGAAGTTACATAATAAAGGGGGGGGGGGGGGGGGGGGCAAAAGGGGGAGGGGGGGGGGGGGGGGGGGGGGGGGGGGAATTGGGGGGTTTTGTTGTGGTATTCAAGCACCAATGCTCTAGGTTTTGTCAATCCGTCTCGTGTCACAGAAATAAAATATCTATGGTTTGA